CTACCACGCAGCAACTGCAACTAGGTGTAAAGTCTGCTCTTGATTTAAAATCACAACATCTCTGTCATTTGTCAGCGGTATCTTGTTTTACCTCAGTGTTTCTGAAAGTCTCAGTCTCTGTGTGTGAGGTTTTTGTGTGAAAAAGTGAAGAAATATCAAATTTTAGGGTTAGGGTCCTTGTGGTCAGAAAGAGTAACCAGCACAGAAGAGTCCCCATCCTGCCTGCTGACAGGAGCATGGGGTACCTTCAGCCCCAGGGGAGATACTGGATCAGTGTGAATAGGCAGGACTGAAAAAGCCTGTCACCAGTTTTAATGCCTTCTCCTCAGGTCATCAGCAACATGGTGTCTGCAGAGATGCTACAGGACTGATCCCCTCTATATCCACATCTGTAATAAATCCTTTTCATGAGCATCACTGAGAAACACTGGGGCATGGCCACTGTGTTGGTTAGGTTTAAGGGATTGCCATGAAATGCTGCTAATGCCCATGGCATGCTAAAATAAGGAGGCATTTTCTCACCTTGGCTTGCAAGGCTTCTGCCAACCTTTTCTTGTGTGGAACAGGAAGGAGACAGCATCTCCTGAGGTCCACAGCCATCAGTGTCAAATGGAGCTGAAATTCCAGGGGAGGCTTCACTGGCAGCATGACATTCAGCCGTGGTTTTGGGCCAGAACCATCCAAAGTGGAGATTTTGGCATGGCTTCTGCCTGAAACCATTAACCCTGCCCTGTAATTATAGGCGTAGCTGCAGGTGAAATGTAGCCTGAGCTTGGCACTGAGTTTTGGAAAGCTTTGCAGTTAGCTCAAGTTTCTCAGAACTAGGCAAACAGATGCTGCTTGAACAATTCATCTGCGGTTGTATTTACAGGAATTTGGAGAGGGAAAGATGCTTCCAGGTTCACCGGAAGCTTTGGAAATAGCACAGCTTGGACCAGCTGCTTTCCTTGTCTCCCCATTAGCAATCTGGAGCCTGGAATGCAAAGCCACAAGCTTGGACTGCTGAAGGGGATGGGGTCTTGAAAGAAGCTCTTGCTGCAGGGAGCAAAAGCATCAACACTGTTAGAGTCTGTGAGCTCTTCTCTGAGATGTTCAGCTTGACAAGAAAGCCTGAACTGAACCCTCATCCCTGCTTCATCACAATCACCTAAAGCCAAGGGGACAAACCCTTACAGGGCACTGTAAATAGGCTCCAGCCCTGCGCTGAAAGGCTCCAGCAGAACACATCAGGGATGCTGAGGCCACAGTGGCTCAAGAGGCAAGCAAAAAACTGCCAATAAAAAGCAAAACAGCCATGCTAACAAAATGTGAAGGCTCTCTGGTGCACCTAGTGATGCCAGGCCAAAAGCTAGTCTCGGAGCAGAGTTCTGGCATTACATCATCACTTGCATATAGTCTGGACAAGGAAGGTGAGGATATGGGACCAGTGTCAAACTAGATTATGGCAACAGCACAAAGAGATACAACAGACTGCAAACACCAGCACAATGGGAAACCCTGAAGGCTTCACAACAATCTGGTGTTACAGTGGGGAGAACTCCGGCAGAACATTTATGGACATCTGAAGGTAGATTAGAGCCTCTCCTTAAGGAGAGCAAGAGATGCTTCCACAAGGAATGGCTATGGCACTGCTGCAGGGTCCCTGAGACCCCCAAGGGCTACAGACAACAGTAAGTGACATATCCAAGGAAGGGTTTCCAAAGTCTGGGAATCACATTCCCCCAGTGCCCGCAGGCATGAATGCAGATGCACACCAGAGGTGGATGCAGGTGAGAGAGCCCCATGAGAATTAAATCAGACATATGGCAAGCCCCACAGATGGGGATTCAAATGGGATCTCCAAATGAAGAACAGGCATCCACCTTTGGCACTGCTTGCTCCTCAAAACCCTCAGAAAGGGGTAGTACCTGGGATGCTCTTCTTCAGAGGCATCTGGATGCAAAGGAGGTTGTTATACACAGCCAACACAATTCGTATCTCTTCCTCCCCATGTACACATTTCGAGGACCCACAGCTACAAATGTAGTTGCTTTTACCCCTTTAGTTACAAGCAGTAGAAGTGGAGTTTGTGCATGCTGTATCAGAGGGATGGGGCAATGATCAGTGGCAGCATGAAAGACACTTGGTATATCAGTGTTACCTACAGAAGCACTGCAGCACCCTACACGATGGGAGGACAGGCTCTCCCAAAAATGATGCTCTTGGCAATGTTACCTCATCAGGTACTACAGCAATCTGGGAGTGCAGATACAGCTGGAGCATAATGCTGTCTACTCATCTCAGGCTGCATGCAGTAGCAGGCAAAATTGAGAGTACAGTCAGTGAGAGAGTCCAGAAAGCACATTCATATGGTAAAAAGGACCTGGCTGCTCCCTCTGCAGCAGCCTCTCCTTGACGCTACCTAAATTAGAAGCGTGATTAATACTGTATCAAAACGTGTGTAATCCCTCTCCCTCTAGACAAGCAATATAAGGCAAGCAGTATTGTGTCACTGGGGCATCAAACACTAAGGTATACTAAAGAAGATTCCTATGCATTATTATCCTTATTATTAAAAAACCCTATTGTTATCATTAAAAACTCAACAACCCCACACCCGTGCTCTAAGCAGGTTTTGCTCTGTGACGCAGAGAAGTTGGGGTGTTTGCGTGCTAAAAGCTTTTCCACCACTGAGCAGCACAGGGCTGAGAGGGGGATGCTGCTCTCACCCCCCTGCCACAGCCCTCCCCATCCCAGCCTCAATGTTACCTGCAATTGAAGGAGCTTTTGTATCTGATTTCCTTGTTTCTGGTTCAGGAGAAGGAAGCTGATGGAAACAGAAGGTGCTCACCCATGATGGAGAGCGGATGAGAGAGGATGCAGGCATGCGGGCATGGGTTGGAGGACCACGGGCGTGCTGGGAAGAAAGGGATGAAGGCTCAACATGAGGGTTCACACAAGCATGGATGGAGAAACAGAAATCCTTAGCCTGCTCCTGGGCTTTTTAACATTCCCGATAAAATAGTCACTGCTAAGGGTCTTTTCATGGGACAACTCTTTGGCAAATTCCTTAGGAATTTCAGTGTCTTTTCTAATCCGTTCTGGTTTTAGCACTAATGCTGCTGTGACCGTAGTGATCTGAGGGAAATGAGCTTTGCAGCAGCTCCCTCTGGAGAAAAAATGAGTGAACGTGTTTTGCTTTTCTCTTGGGTTAGGAAGGGGAGCGTTTGCATCTGAGACGATGCTCTGGCTTCTCCGGTACATTATACAAACTTGTTCTAAAAACTCACATAATTTAAAATCTTAAAAATCAATTAAAAAAGTAAAAATATACCCATTTACCTGTAAATAGCAATGATCCTGCAGAATTTTTTTGGATCTAGTAAGTAGCATTTGATTTATCTGATGTATCCCATAGTCTGTCTAAAGAAATAGAACGGCCTTCAGGGCTGGACAAGGGTTTGTTTCCAGTGAGTTCCTTGGCATTTGTGTTTTAAAAGTTATTAACAACAAAATGAACCAACAAGGAAATTCACATACAAAATCTGCACTTGAGTAACATTAATGTCCCTTCCCAAATATTGGGAAATACGACTTATGGCTAGTGCTCTGCTCCTGTGTCTTGGGGTCACATATGAAAGGTCACCTGCACACAGACTACAGCATCTCCTGTTTGAAGACAAGAACTCCTCAGACAACTTGAACCCACCACAACTTAGACCTGAAGCATCCAAAACCTGAGTGTGCGTTCAGGTCCCAGCATCAGGGATGCTCCATCCCACAGCTGGGGCCATTTGTATTGTTTCCTTCCACACCTAGACCCAGACTCTGAAAAACACAAGCCCAAAAGTTTCTTGGAGGCCAGATCCCAGGCACTGCTCCAAGGCCACGGCTTCACATCCTGCACAGATGCACCTAGATGAACCTAGGCTATATGCACACAACCATGCATGGGCATGGGCGTCCCCAGAGCAGTTCAAGTTGGCCTGCTGGAAATTTGGCTTTAACTTAGTTCCTCAACTCCCTTTGGTTTCCCCATTCTCCACTAAAACTTATTTCTGTCCTCAAAATCTACAGAACCAAATCTGGGAGGAACAGGGGAGCAAAGGCCAGCCCGAGAGAGGCTTAGCGGAGAGACAAAGTTTGCCTGTCCATCCTTTAAAAGGTCTTTATCATTGGGATTGCCTTACTAGCAAAACAGAACTGATTTCCTTTTATTTAGTGGTTAAGACTTCTTTGGGGGAGATCACCACAAGGATTATGTGATACAGGCATGGGGGAACGGAGTGACTGAAAGTGAAGACTCAACAGGGAGCATTTGACTATGATTTAGGGCAGGAATAAAATTATTTATGTCAATAAGCAATGAGCAGGCTCTATTATAGTTTATAGAGGCACAACTCATTTCATAGAAATAAGGAGCACGACTTAGAGTTATTCTGGTGCAGGTTAACCCAAAAATCCATGTCATTTTGCCTGGATGAATGAGAAGTGATGATTTATGGCATGGCTGTGGATGGAGGCGTGTGTCAGAAGTTCTTGGAAATGGTGACACAGATAAAGGTGGGATATTCCTTACACCTTGCAAAAAAATTCCATGTGGAATTTGTAGCAGCAAGACACAGTCTGTGCTGCCTTTATATAAAACCAGTTTTCTGTAATCAGTGATTGTGGGACAAACCCAACCCCTTTTAAAAACTCAGAGGGCACTGTCAGCATCTGCTCTCAAGGGTCTAACATGACCTGGGAAGGAAAAGGGGATTTTGCAATAAGAAATGGATATTCAAAATGGAGCCAATAGGGCTTCTACATTAGGACAAGAGAAAAATTACATCCCACAGCAATTGTGCCTTGAAGTCCCCTTGATTTATGCTCCATCCCTGGCAGTGTTCACGACCAGGTTGGACGAAGCCTTGGGTGATATGATTTAGTGTGAGGTGCCCCTGCCCATGGTGGGGGGGTTGGAACTGGATGATCTTAACGTCCTTTCCAACCCTAACTGTTCTATGATTCTATGATTTTGCCTCCCATAGTGAAGACCTCATCTTCAATACTGCATGACCTCACCCTCACCTATGTTCTGCCTTTATATCATACCCTTTTGTGCCAGATTTCCAGCAGGCCTCCCTCCAAGTGCAACTGCAAACAAATAAGGTAATAAATCAGTGTTATCTCTGACTTGGACAAGAGTTGCAGGGAGCAGATGGCTGGAGCAACATTGACTTTTGCCTTACCCAACATGATTTCCATTCTGTGGCCACTACAAAAACCATGTCCCCAAGTCTGATCAGGGACCTGCTGACACTTCTTGCTCTTAACAAAAGACATCTCATTTAGCAACATGCCAAGGGCAAACCTGCACAATTTACAGCCTTTTTGCACTCAAAGATTTCTCTGTATGGGATTCAAGGGCATCACTGGGTTTGCTTTGCACAAAGAAATCTGGAGGCAAAAGGAGTTTGGGAGCAAAGCAAAGAGGGGAAAACTGCAGGAGACAAAATGGATCAAATGGGAAAGAATGGAATGAGCATGGCTGGAAGCCTGGGTTCCCTCTGAGGAAAATGTTCTCCCCTCCTAAATGGTGAAAAATGGCAGAAAAAATGTGTAGAGCCTTTCCCCACACCTCAATCCTATATGAAGACCTGCATATTGGTCCTGAGCACTAGCAAAAGGATGGGTTTATTTCCTGTCTGCACACACATCTTCTCTAAGGCCCAAATAGTCCTGAGTCTCCCCTGGTTGCTGCCTCTAAACAAGCAAACAGGAGACAAAAGGGCTGTGATTCTCCCTTCACCCCAAGCAAGCCAATGTTCACCCTCTCAAAGGCCACACAGAAATGAAGCTGCCACATAAATATCCTTAACAGGCTCTTGTTATAACAGAGAAAACGTGGAGATGGAGTTTGAAACCACAAACACAGCACCAGCAGAAAACCCATATGGGATTTGGGCCATAGATGCATGGGAGGATTCAGAGCACAATTCCAGCTATGGTGTACCAGCCCTGGAGATGGATCCCAAACCCAACTTTTCCTAATTAACCCCCTTGCAAAAAAACCCCTTTCCACCTACCCATGTAAAGTGACATCATTTTGGTCCCAAAAGAAACTCCGAGCATCACTTTTCCCCTCACCTTCCCCCAGCTGAATGCACTGCTGGGGTTCTTGGTAATGATATAACAACCTCTCAAAGAGAAACTACTTTAACCACAACGAAACGGGGCAGACTTGGATTGGCACAAGTTGTGGGCAAGCACAGGTAAGAGGCTTCTGAAAGACCATGAAGAAACAAAGAAGCACCTCTTAACTCAGCTCGAGGGGTCCAAACAAAACCAAAGGATGTCCTGACAACATGGGTGTGGGATTCTTGGCAGGGCAGAAGAAAGGGAAGGTTTTCACGGGCCATAGTGTGTGCAAAAGTGTTCAGGCACAATGCAAACTGTAGGAAAAGTGCCCCCCTCTGACCAACAGGGCTTCAAAAGGATGGAGCTCAGCACTTAACTCACAGCAACGCAAGGACCACTGCATCTTGCATATGCACCCTCTCCCATTGGCCTGGTGGCTCTGGTGCCTCCACAATAGCACTGGCTGGCCATGAGAATGGCTTCACACCATGGCAGCCCTGCCATGACAAGGGGTTGCCTTTGGTTTGCCTTTGCTTCCAAAGCACCTCTAGGTCCGTTGTCAATGGGAGGAGAGATAATTAAATATAATACATGGTTTAAAATATAAAATTCCAGCCCCACAGTCTCTGTTCCTCATCTGCCTCATTTCTCTGTCCTCTGGGTTGTGTCTCTCCTTTCAGTGTTCTAAGGTAGGATAATTTCCAATCCATTCTGGTTTAGAGCAGTATTCTAACCTGTCCCACTTTAAGGCCATGTCTTCTGCTCGTGCAAATATTCCAACCACCATCCCTCTCCTCCAGGGGCCTACGCAACACTTCCATGTATTATACTGGAATTATGCCACCTACCTGACAGTTAATGAGGAACCACAGAGTAACAACCCCCCTTTAATTACCCATGACCTGAAATCTAAGCCAGGAACAGACACGCGCTCATTCCGCAACTCCAAAATCCCTAAAGGTGGAATCACCAGTGCCACGACATGGCAATTCCCACCTCCCACTTGTAACTGTGACCTCCAAAAGCCCTGGCTGGGTGGTTTATTCCTGCCCCGTGTTTCTGAAGGCTCCCAAGAAATGCAAGTTGCCTACCTTGCACCATGAAATAATCTCACCCAGTGATCTTAGAAAGAGAGTATGAAAGAAACCTGGACTTCATGGCTCCAGTTCGCTCACCATTGTGACCTCTTCCACAAAGGCAGGCTCCGACCCGCTCATTCCCCCACCCCAGAGTAAGAAAGTATCTGCCAGCTAAGGATGTCCTAGAAGGAGGAAAACCTTAGCTGTCGATCTCCTTGAGAAGTTCGATGCATGGGCAGCTGCCAGCGCTCGAATGTGGCTCAGTGGCAAGAAGGCTTCACTGCCTGGAGGCTGACCAACCCATGTCACTAAAGGGTCCCTCACCCGTGGCCGACCTGGGAGGAGGCCCGCAGGGCGTGCAGAGGTCAGAATCGGTGTCTGACTCCCCTTCTGCAATGTAGGGTCTGATTTTGGCCACGGCTGCATAGCAACCGTTGTTAAGGATGTCCAAATTCTCTTTGGACTGGGAGATGCTAAAGCCGCTGAAAGAGCGCTCCAGTTCCTCGTGGTCTACTGAGGGGATGGAGATGGACGTGTCGCTGTCTCTCATGGCACTCTCATGGTGTTTGGTTGTAATGTCTTCGTTCCTCAGGTACTCCGCGCTCGCCCTGTGCCCGCTGCTGTAGGCTGACAAGGAGCGCTCATGGGAAGGCGGAGGTGGGATGCGGACCAGCGAGCCGGGGTCTCCGACGGGAGAGGAGCCGTGGCTCTGCCGCTGGCATGATGTCGAGGGCGGGCATGTGTTGGTCGGGACTGGTGGGGCAGAGAAGTTCTTCTGACCCATGGAGCTGGTGGACCTGATGATCTTGATGATGCAGCCGTTCTTGTCAATGTGCTCCCTGCTGCCTTCGGGGCTGTGGTAGGGAGGCGCTGGGTCTGGTTCTTTGGACCCAAAATAAGCCTCCGTCTCCGTTGGTGGGATGCCCATCCGCTGCATGTAAATGTTCACCAGGAAATCCAGCTTCTTCTCCATTGACTGAACCTGCAAAACACCACAGTTTCAGTGCTACGCGCTGCACATGGGTGGAAGCACATTAATATCCCGAGTACAAACAACTTTGTAGATGCCTACACTGACCCACACAACACTGAAGCATTTAGTAAATATTTAATTGTCCTGTTCTAAAGCATTTAATTCTCCACCTTGTTGCAGGGTTTTCCTTAAACTTCTATAAACTTTTTGACAGGCATCGAATTCCAGGAAAGCCGGAGCAACCTCGCGTCCCTTCTGCTCCTTACTGCATTTGACACTTGCCTGGCCTCAGATACCATGGGGATTTCTGAGCCTTATCCTCTAGGGAGACTTTAATCTTCAGTACAGCCAGCAGCTACAGCAGCCAGGCTCATGGCCTCATCTGAAACATGTCTAGTGTGGTGGCAAAGAAACCAATGTCCCGTTTTCAAAAGTAATGTTGACTTTTGGTAGACTACATGAGGAGATTCCAAAATACCTGTTCTGAAAGTAGTACTTAAGCTTCTAAATACCCTTTCACAACATCCACGTTGTTTCATTGGCAAAACAGTCTTAGCTCTTACTTCTTCTAAATGGTAATGTCCCACTGGGGGAAATTAAGGCAAGAAGAAACCAACAGAAAGCACTCAACACAAAGCATGCACCCCCCTCTGATAAGAACCCTTTCCTGACCCGATCTACCTGTTTTTCCACTTTCCCAAGCCTGCCCATCATGCTGGGGTCTTCAGGCAGCTCCCCTTCCGCTGGCCCCTTGGTCCGATCCTTGTCAGTCATGGAGGATCCTCTCCCAACGATCTGGTCAACTCTACCGGGATCAGAAAATCCCCCCCCAGCCCCGGAAAAGGACCTGGAGTCAGTTGGAGGCAGCAGGCGAGGAGGGCTCTGCTCGCGGCACCTCCATGGGACAAAGCAACAGCCTCTCTCCCAACCAACACTCCAGATCCCTCACAGACACATGGTGGCACTGAAGTGTTAATTCAGATGCACAGTTCAGAGCGGTATTAGCGGAGTTTGGAGTTACCCAGTTCCGTTTGTACAGATCAAACCTGGCACATTATGCATAGTAAGTTTACCCACTGCAAAGAATTGCTTCCAAATCAATTCAGTTCTTATTTGTACTGAGAAATTACTCTTTCACTGGGGAAGATCATCTGTCTGTCTAGCATATGTCAGTGGGATATTATTTCAGTCTCTGCAGCAGTTTCCTCTCCTCAATGCAAACGTAAGTGTGTAATTCTCGTGCCCTTAAGATACAAAGAAGTGAAGCGCTGTTTCAGTGGAATTACATCGGGACTGAATTTGGTTACAACTCACCAAACATTACCAAATTGTCTTCATCTCAATACGACTGCAATTCACACCTGTACCATTAGGCATTTTCTATTAGCAGGCTTCCAAGCTGGTAAAAGCAGAGAACACCTGCCAGTAGCATGCTGTTTGGCACAAACTTCTTTACACACATTACATTTGCAAATCCCCAGCATAGAAACACAGCACAGATACAGCTCTGTATGCAGAGGACAAAGGAGGGCAGAGCCACTTTGGAAGCTGGAAGTCAATTGTATGAGGCATCAACTATAAGTTTTCTAGAGTAAACACCAGAGCTTCTTGATGCTTCAAAAGTCAGTTTTGGAATAGCTTCTTAATGGCAGCCCAGTTTATAACCTAATTCTATGGCAGGCAAACTTTACCCTTGCATAATGCACCAAACATAAGGGTGGCAGGGGAAAAGAAGGGTTAATTCATCGGATTGAAACCAAGTTGAGGATTCTTGAGCAGGAAACTCAAAATGCTCCTTACGCAGTTCTGCCGTGTGGGCCATGGGTCCATGCACCAGGAGGAGGAAAAGGAAGAAGCTGAATACAGACAGACAGGGGAAAATGGACAAACAAAAACCAAGGAAAGGAATGAGATGTGAGGCTATTTCCAACACAAGAGCTACCTGTTTTCTTTACATTGGACAGGGACTTCATACATATGTTGGCTGTTGACATTAAGGGACAGATATCAGTGGGTATGGACCAGTGAGGCTCCCTTAGCTTATATTAGAGCAACAGCAGCTTACAGCGCCAGAAGATCTGGCTCAAAGAGATGAAGTGGATGAGCACATTACACCAAAGACAGGAAATACAAGCCAACAATTACTGTGGAGTTTATCTTTGATCCCAGAAGATACCTTATTTGGGCAGGAATGTGACAGAATGCAGTTCTGCTTAAGAAGTCATGTTTGATCCTTTGCTTAACAATATAAGCACAGGAGTACAAGGAGCACCGAATGCTACAATTACAAGTGTGAGGAATATGCATGCCTTATTTCTCTCTTGTAATGGGAGAAGGAAATCATTGACATGTACAGGAACTCCCCACAAGGGATGCAATTATTGACATTACATACAGCACAAGAAATCCTATGACAATGTTGTTACCATGTAAGCAAAGAGGTATTGAATTGGATACCTCGGACTATCTTGGTTTGGAATCACAAGTCAAGGTGTAGTACAGCCACTGTACGAACTCCTCTCCTGTATGCACAAGCAAGCAGACTAGTAAAACAATGATCATGAGTTTAAGGAGGCCCAAAGTCTAAACACTACTGAATATTGCATGAGGCCAAGACCAATCAAGGGGTCCTTGTGTCCCATCTAGCACAGCACTAACACTGAAATGTGTCCACTGATGTAAATGAGATGCCCTTCAACAGTTGCTGAGTAGAGCAGGGAGGCAGGACAGACTAACACAGAGGAAAACTGCCATGCTGTGGTGTATCATAACAGCAGAGAGAGTCTTGGGCAACTCTACTGCTAATCTTGCAGGAACTAAGGAAGGACTTCTAGTCTCTTCCATGTCCTTAAGAGGTATCCAGGAAGTGAACCTCACTTGAGGTAAGTGAAGCACAGAAGGCCAGATGATCACTAGTATCATGTAGAACACCAGCTTCTTAAATCACTTTCAGGCTAGACACTACCTGCCTGTGAACCTGCTGTGATTTAAAAGCAGGATTGAAGCCCTTCACAGAGCTCACTAGAAAGCATTCAGAAGCCCGTGTCCATACACCATTGAATCCAGGGCCCAGGAGAGTTCCTGCTTTATTCATTCCCTTCGTGTCTATACTTTAACACAGTTCTGACTCCTGAGGTGCTCATCTTCCACACCTCTGAGAAACCAGGGAGCCAGATCTTGCCCTGGAGGCAGGCTCTGCACTGAGGATGGTGTGGGGGGGCAGCTGTGGGCCACTGACTTCAGTGCAGAGAGAGGAGAAGAAGGTGAACCGAGTCCTTCTCTTTTCATGGGAGAAACTAGGCTCAGGGTCTCCCAGCCCTTTGCTTCCCATGGCAACAGTTAAACCAGAGGAGAGTGCTCCTACCCTCAGCAGAGCACAGAGATTTCATCTGTGCCTTATCTGATACAAGAGAGGAATTTCCTCTGTGCTCCTAACCCATCCATACCTCGCTGAGCACTGAAAAGAGTAAGAGTTCATTTTAGCCGTTATAAAAGTTTGAGGTTTTGTCTGAATTGAGCAGCAAAGCTCAAGAGATGAAGAAGAGAGAACATATTCCACCTTTGCAAGCAGAGAGGGATAGTGACAAAGGACCACGTATCTCCTGAGATGCCAGACCCCACTTCTGCACTACATCCCTTGTGTCTTCCCAACGCTAACTCTGGCTGTGTCAACTACAGAGCAGAGGCAAGAAATCAGCTGAGGCTTTGGAAGAGCCAGCCTCATGTTTTTCCCTTTGTGGTAGAAGAAGATGCAGAGATTTCTGCATTGACATGACAAACTGTGCCACCTGCTGTCCTCAACAGGCTCTGCGGGCCTTAGTTTGGGAGGGAGAGAGAAAAGGGGGCTGCTCCTTACAGTAAACTTTGGTACCTTTCCTTCTTTCTAATGATACAAAAAAAATGTAAGGTCTTGCATCAGCCACAGTGCAGGTTTTCTCATGCTTCATTATGCTTCATGCTAACAGTGCATGCAAAGAGGTGTAATATATCACCCTCGGGCCAGAAGCAGACATCAAAAAGGTCAAACGGCTCAAATGAGATAAAAATGAAGTGTTTGGGAATAGATATTCAATTCTTTCCTTTTTTTTTTTTTTCTTTCTTATAATTTTTTGTGCACAATCCAGGCATTGAAGCCAAACCCCCTTCATCCACGTCACAGGACTGGCGGCTGACCTCCTTGATTGGCAATAAAGCTCTAGACATACTTTGACCAATATCTACCGTTTAAAAATCAGAGGTTGCACCTCTTCTATTTCAATCTAACCCCAATTGTCTGTGTGTAGAGCAGGGAGCAAACACCTTCAGCCAAACCAGGATGGACGTCCCCCAGCATCCAGCTGCCTTTGCAGAAACCTTTTGGCTGAACTGAGCCCTTGCTGCTAGAGCCCCACCATGCAATCCATGGGGTCGACACAGCTCATGGGACATGAGCTTGTTGCACACTTACTCTCATAGGTTAAATACAACAAAATAATTGGAATATGCGTTGTAATTTTAAAATCAAGTTTTTCTGAAGATAAAATTATTTCTCTTTTACAGACTACTTTTGGGCCTCATCCTTTGGCAGGAACCAGAAATAGGAAAAATGCTTTTCTGAGAGCATCTATTTTCCAAGCATAAAGCTTGGGGCTTCTGGAAAATTCCCTCTTTTTTAATCTTTGAGCAGGCTGAGTGGGGAAAGGTAAGCTTTCAATATTCCTCTTACTCACATTCCTCTCGTGAAGATTATTCAGAGCAGCTTAAATCGAAATCAAGAGCTTTGTCACATATTAGCTCTTAGGGAGGGCAAGTATATTTAGAAAAGAATATCTGAGACCAAGCTTGCTGCATTTAAAAATCACCTACTATTTGTGCATGGAAAAATACCTTCTGGCAAGTATTTATACAGGCCTTGGGCTCCAGTGGTCTCAATACAAGGTGAAAATAGAGCTCAGCTTATGGCCCTGATCAGACCTCAGAATGCCCTAAAAACAGGTCATTCAGTGAGGATATGTTCCTTGTGGCATCAGCTTCAGGTAAGGTTTTATACCTAAGGAGAGACTTTCATGAGGGCAATGGGAAAAGTCTCGCTGTGTGACTGAGGGCTGGGTTTGACTCCTGCTCTTTTTGCTTGCAAAAGATCAGGATTTTTATTGTTATTACACTTATTACTATTTTTCTATGAGTCCATGGTTCTAATATTTTAACACATTTTCCCTCCCATGGTCAGTAGAGTTACATCAGCAAGGAAGAGACCACTGTGTTCATCGGATATGAAACACTTCATTCTTACTTTGCCCACTGAGTTAAACTCATTCCAGAGTAGAAAGAGCAGCAGAGGCTGCTTTGCTTGTGTGTGGAGTGGTTTGCCTTTTAGAAAGCAGATTGCTCAGTTTAGATTGGCTTTGTGGGTAAATATTCCACCTTTTAGATTTGAGGACAGCCTAATAAAATAAGAGATTTTAAAAGATATAATTTTGCTTTCTAACACCCAGAAGAGTGCAAATAGAAAACACACTTGAAGAAACTGATGGTTACTGATGGCTCTATGAATGCCCTTTTTCTTTTTGCCCTTTGGCTTGCTTAATGTGAAATCTCATTCCTGAAAGTAAATCAGAGCACACCCAGAGTAGCAACCCCCTTCCGAGTCATGATTTAGCAAGCTGCTAATAAATATCCACGTGATAAATGCCGTCATATAACTGGCATGAAAGGGGTTTGACATAAAGCAAATGAAAAATCCAGAGAAAGCGGCATTTTGGTGAATCCTAACCTAGGCGAGTATTGGGGAGATTCTTTGGAAGAATACATGGGTCCTTTGGTTGGATACTTCTTATGCCGGGGAGTTGAAGGGGGTGGGGGACCCACAATCATATCTATCCTGGCAAAGTAAATAAGAAAAAGAAAGACAGCAGCAAAAATGCATAATGAAGCAACATGGAGAGAAAAGTTGGTCAGAAAAAGTTGCAGGAAGAAACAACTGCAAAACAGAATGACAGAAAGAGAGAGGAATTGAACACAGACCCCACTGGAAACAGAAGGCTCTCTCCTACCACTTGGCTCTCAGTGAAAGCCACAGTCTTCCCTCTTCCAGATAAGACTTGGGGATGCAGGCACCACTGAAACATCATCAGGAGGTCCCCCCACCCCAGATACCCTCTGAAATGTATTTGCATGTGTGTAGCGATATCCCATTGAGGCAGTTGGATATGAAACAACATATATTCGTTCTCCTTTCAGTTCCGGTGCTAGATAATGCATCCTCAGCTAGGTCAGAAAAGCACGAGCTGTTGGGAGTCGGTGAGATACACTGCAGGATTGCATACTCAATGAATGGGAGACATCCATGGTTGGCAAGGTGTCAGGATGAGACACGAGACAGTGTGAACACAACACTGAAAAGAGCACATTACAGACACAGTGACAGAGGCATTAATGATTAAAGAGGAAAGTGCATGTAAACACCCCAGAAAACTGCTTGAATGCAGCTTTAATCCACTAAAGCCCTGGCTATGGGAGGTCCCAGCCAGGTCTGCTGAGCTGAGCTGAGCTGGCAGGGAGAACACACTGCTTTGATTGCTGAAGGAAAGGGCAATAAAGGTATCTGTTTTGCAATGTGCCCCATGACAACCTCCCAGGGCTACCCCATATGGGTGCACTGTTCTAGGCCACTTGGTCTTGGCCACCTTGTCGAGAGGGTGACCCTTCCAGTTTCACTGGGCAGGTGACCAGCCATGGGACCTCTCAGTGCCCATTTGGCTACTATGATGAGTGCTCTGAAGGATGACCCAAAAGGGGATCTGCTCCCATCGCTGACCTGCTGAAACCAGTGAAGCTGCCTGGTACCCCTGGGTCCCAAAGCCAAGTTCTTTTGAAGCAGCTCCTAGTACACCTGATTTCCCTGCAATGGGGCGGATGTCAACCCTAGTCTTGCTGTCCCATAGATACAGCTAAAGGGAGAATTCAGTTTGGTCTTTGAAAGCGCCAATTCCTTACCTGAACCTCCCCAGTTAAACAGCCAACTTTGTCTTTGCAGCAAAGGATAGGTAATGGGAGACTTGGGTGTTGAAAGCTCGTGTCCCAGCTAGAGCCAGTAGAGATGACAACCCCAAAGGCTCACTCCCTACTGCAAAGGCAGCCTGGAGGCTTCTCATTTCATAGAATCATAGAATAGTTCAGGTTGGAATGGACATTAAGATCATCCAGTTCCACCCCCCCCTGCCACGGGCAGGGACACCTCACACTAAACCATGGCACCCAAAGCTCTGTCCAACCTGGCCTTAAAACTGCCAGGGATGGAGCATTCACAGCTTCCCTGGGCAACCCATTCCAGTGGCTCACCACCCTCACAGTAAAGAACTTCTTCCTTCTATCCAATCAGCTTATTAAAGTCAGGAAATATCAAGCCCTTCCTCTTCCCCCTCCAGATTCAGCTCCATGTCTTGGGTCTATAATCACTGAGTTTTTATGGAACGGGGGTGAGAGGCTGAAAGAGAGGAAATTCTCCAGGATATTTTAGTCTCCACCGCGAGGGAGAATCTGCCTTCTGGGAACTGCACAGCGTGAAGCAATGCCGAGAAAGTTCTCTCTGCTGCTTGAACATCAAAAATAGCAGAGTTAAAATGGTCCCTGAGAGATTCACGGCAGAAGAGAGATTCCTCTTTTTCCTAACACCATTTTCCTGTCCTACCAGGGCCCTAGATGGGTTTGAAATGAAAGGAAAACTTCCCCAGTGGTTTCCAGAGGAACTGGGGCTGCCACAGCCATCAAGGGAAATAATTCCTTTCTCCAAGTGTAAAAGTAAATGGTGCATTGTTTTGACTGGAGATAGCCTATGGCCAAGCCCTGCCTCTATTCTGGGCATCCTTCAAGCTCAGCACAACTGAGGCTACTTCTGCTGAGTCGACAGAGCTGGGGGATATTGGGGGTTTGGGGTCTCCTTTTCAGTGTGGGACATTGTCTGAGTGGTCAGACAAAAGAGCTTAGCTCAGATCCTCTGTTCAGAGGACAGAACTGATCTGCTTTGGGGGTGGCTTTTAGGATAAAATGAAATTTTAAATGCCTTTTTGGGTTCCCTTTGTCCTTTTTCCACATTTTTTTTTCCCCATATTAGAACTAACTCATCTTCGCCTCCAATTTGAGCACAGAAGTTGGAATACAACACCAGCCTTACCTATGGGACATACTGCAATGATAGAAACTCCTGAAGCAAAGTAAGAGGATAATGTCCCTGCTAATAGCAGGGGGTTGGACTAAATGACCTTTGAAGGTCCCTTCCAACCCAAACCATTCTATGATTCTATGACAAGCTGTGATTCTTGTGTGTATACTCTGGGGTGGGCACTAAGACCCTTTTAGTGGCATAGCATCACTATTTGCAGTCCCTGCCCTGCTCATTCCTGTGGGTTCCAGCCACAAGCACTGATGTTTTCCTTGCTGTTTCCTCTTAAGAAGAAAAAGAGTAAGTTGTAGCTGCAAAGGAAAGTGTCCCTTCTCCTGGCAATACCTCCACAATGACCAAAAAACAGTGAAAAACTGAAGCAAAGAGAGGGGTCTCTTGCCTGGCCTGAAGGTTTTTAATCCGGGAGAGCATGTCCAGGTGTCCAGCTGAGTACTGCTCAATGACGTCCATCACATCGTAGGGCCGAAGGCTCTCCTTAAACTTGCGCTTGGAGACCAGAAATCTCATAATGCTGCAGGAGATGGGGAGGAAAGGCAAAATATAGTCCCTGGGCTGCAGCCTGACCTGCTTAGTAGCAGATAAAACACACCACAGGGAGCTGCTTTGGAAGACAAACGGAATAAATCACAACCCTGGGGGTCTGGGAGAGGATGCTGCAATAGGAGAGGTGAAGGGGATGCAGGGGCTTGTGGTCTCCTGATGCTGCTTGGACCATCAGCAGTACATCTCTCTGCACTGCTTCTGTGAATGTCAGCATTAAACCTCAAAGCTGGTGCGAATGATCATTTGGATGCATCCCCGCAGGGGATTTTCCTGTTTCTCTATTTATTCCTTCCCTCAGCAAAAACTGCCCTTTCTGGCAGCGTTTTCTGCAAAGGAGGGCAGGCCACCCAGGGGAAAGCAGCCTGCAGCACAGCCATCTCAGCATTTCCACCTCTGCTTGGACTTGAAATTCCTCTTTCTTCCCCTATTATTTGGTTTTCCAGGCCGCTTCCCCCCTCTCCCTCTCTTACCACACTGCCCTGATGCTGACTTTCAGCCCTGGCGTCAAATCTTCCGTCACAAACTCGCAGTTGCAGCTTTTGTTCTCATCAGGAATGTCTTCTCCTGGGAGGCTTGCTTCTGGGTTTAGGAGAGGGAGGAATAAAGACAACCCATTACTGTTTCCTGGTGCCATGCTAGGAAAGATGAGTCAGATCACAAACAGCAACCCCAGGGGAAGCACCAGAGATATCTTTGCTAAGCATCCAAATAAGAGCGTTTCCATCAACATGTTAAGGTGACATCCGGCAGTGCCAAGTGCAGCCCATCCATCTCTAGATTACAGAATCACAGAACGATTTGGGTTGAAGGGACCTTAAAGCTCCTCCAGCTCCAACCCCTGCCACAGGCAGGGACACCTTCCACTAGAGCAGTTTGCTCCAAACCCTGTCCAACCTGGCCTTGAGCACTGCCAGGGATGGGGCAGCCACAGCTGCATGCATGATTGCCATATGTCAGCAGTGGTTTTATCTCTTATTATACTTCCTATATATAGGAAGGAGAAGGAGACCCATGTAAGCACCCTGGCTGGCAGCTCTGCTCGTCATGGGCGGAGATGGAGAGGATTTGGGGTCTGGAATGGCACCCCAAGCCCTTACCTTCCGAGTTCTGCCGTGACGCCGCTCCCTTGATGCGGAATGCTTGCCGGGCTCGGCTGCGGTCTCCGAAGCTCCAGCTCTTGGGCACTTTGCTTGGGCTGTCCTCGATGCTCTGGTCAGCGCTGGGGGACCTCCTCATGCCCTGAGCCTGTGGAGAGCCTTTCCCTTTGGTGCCAGCACCGCGGGGACTGGAGAAGACACGATCTTTCAAACTGACCTTCTGACTGTTCAGAGAAACACGTTGAAACAAAGACAAAAAGGAGACAGCAGGAGGAGTCATTCTGGAAACCACGCAGTCCTTCCCCACCAGCCATTAGAAACCAAGAGCACTTCCAAGCAGCAGTGAGATGTAGTTTTGCTGTTGGCTTTTTAATTTGTTGTTTGTTTGGGTTTTTTTCCAAATATATATATTTTAATGAATTTTTACAAGCATCGTAGAAATGTTTCCGCCATAATGAGTGAAATGAGAATGGTTATTAAGAGAGAGAAAATAATGAGGACTTGAACAGAAGCCCCTCATGGGATGCCAGGGCTGGCGGGACAGAATGACGTTAAACAATGAGGTTATGAGTCCTTAAATCACTGATCAGCTCCAATCACGAGCGAGGAAGCTTTTCTTTCACAACTGCCTTCCACAACCCTGTATCTAGTGAGAAAATACCAATTCAGAAGAGCTTTTAACCTTAAACTTTGAACTTGCAAGCACTTCACTTCTGGTGCTCAGCCCCTGTCCTGTCCCTTTCTCCAGCTTCTCTATCTCTTCCCACTTAAATCATGATCTGCCCTTTTTAGATATTCTAAAGGATTCCACTTTTTCCAGTTATATATTTAAATGCTTAAACACAAACACTTCAATATGCAATTGCTCTGTCTCCTATAATGATTCAATCCATCAGCTACCATCTATCTGCAGGTTTGCTACGGGTGTCATAACCGTGCAAAGCCAAATTCAAGAGCTTCAGAATATGGCATTTTATTGCTGTTTTTTTTCTATTAGAATCCCATTTCTTTAACAAACACCTTGTAATTCTGGTTCGAAAAGATCTCTTCAGAACCAGAGATGGTCTCAGTGAGCATAGCCTGGTGATAGCCCAGCTCTGATTACTTCCCAAACCCTGAAAGTTGCAATTAGAAACTTTCATCCTAAGAAAGATGCTGAATTTTCACAGGAGATTTGGAAAGCTAAAAGATTTGGTGAATCTTCATGAAAGGACAAATGTTATAGAGACAACATCGGGGAAACCCAACTGCAAACAGTATTGGATCGTTCGCTGCTCTCTGAATAGCAATTGATTATTAAACTACACTGATAGAGGTTAGACAACCAGCGCAAGGCACCGGCGCATACAGCCAGTATTATATGTAGGTACCTCAAAAGTGAGTAAACCCAGGGATTTCATTCCCAATACTCTGCTCCATTGCCATAGCCACTTACTGGTTTGCTGCAAATGCTCTGACTCAATTTACAGGAAGAACATTGCAGGGATTTTGATTTCCACATCAAATTTCCAGGTCACCAACCAAAGAACTGCGGTTTTTTATCTGTCTGTCAGCAATGCCACCTGAAAACTTAGAGCCAAACAGTCCTGCTTTGCCTTCAAAGCCAGCATGAGGTTCTTCAATCAGAACTTAGCTGATATTCAAAGCGAAGCAAAATCCACCTCCCTTTTCCCCAGCTGTACTCTGCTGACAGGAACAGACATTTGGTTGTGTCAGTGAGGGAAGACGATGTGACTCGAAGACACACAGGGAGCAGATTTGTCGAGTAAGAAGGTGCTATTTTTACAAAGTCACTTTACATTGCGGGATCTTGAACGCTTACAGGGAGGGAAAGGTGCTGAGGCAGCATTTTCCAGTTGCGCAGCGTGATGCTGGGTGATGCCTGGATGCAGCATCCAAGGAATGCAGGGCAGGGTTATCTGTGCCCATTGTCTGGGCAACAGCTTCACGTTGGAAAATACACTTGAGATAAAATTTGCTCATGACCAAGTTTGAAAAGGCAGAACTACTCCAATTAATGCTGTCTTTTAACTCAGATAAACACTGGAGGTTCATACCCAGTGTGCTGCCCACCTGCAGGGTCTGTCTGAAAGCCATGGGACCAACAGATCAGCAGAGCTGAAAATCAGAGGTGCAAATCCACACAGGTATCTAGGAACAAGCATGCGCCCAAATACCTTTTTGGATACAAGCCTTAGTCACTGATGCTACTAAAATCATCATATATAATGAGACAAAGGTTTAAAAGCAATTCTTGCTGTTTCTTAGATTAAGCCAGATAGAAATGTTGTCATTTGATCCAAAATAGGCCAGTTGGATTGGTTTGTCTTTATTTTAGCTGATTTTACAGAAGAATATTCCTGGAATCTACTCCATTTCAGTAGTACCAATGCTTTGAACTACCTGGTATCTTTTAAACATCACTTGTATAAAACTGAATCAGCAACACACCAAGATTCAGAATTCAGAGCAATCTCTTTGTGCCTCATCCTCTGCTGAGTTGCTCCCATCACCGATTTCAGCATAAAAGCAATCCCCTATCACTGAGTAAAGCAGGGCCCTTCTTTGGGAGCCCTTTTCCATTCCCTCAATAAACATGCTGCAGATGTTTGCAAGGATCACAAAAGGCAAAAAAGAAAGCATTGAACTCAGTGGGGAATATGAGCAAAGAGCTTCCAGCCTGATAGTGCTGCACCTCCTGCTATTTACACATTAAAAAACCTCATAGAAATTTGGTGAACAGTTAAGTTCTGGGTGAGTTTTGTTCCTGAATACTCACTACTCAGAAAAAAACCCAGCACCTGATGTAACGTCTTTGTTTTAACATAGACAACATGAGACAATATGAACAATTAAATTGGATTTTTTCCTTCTGCCATGCAATTCTCTCATTGGAAATGACATCTGGAATGACGTGCAAGTACAGTCCCTGCAGAGGAGAATGCTGTCGGGGTCTGCAGGAGCTGGTAGGAAAGAGTCTAAAAGAAATATAGACATATATAGAGATATATGTTGTCAGGTAATCCAAGATCATGTTCTCATTCAACCAGAAAGTCATGCAGAGTGGAGTGTCTTAGAGAAGTGGTATTTAACTCTCACTCACGTAGATGGTAAACGAGCCTCAGCTCAGTGGAAGATGTACGCATTGGTGACATGACCATGAAGAAAGCAGTAATACAACCACACACAACATGAACTGAAGCTTTCAGTCGTGATAGCCAAGAGTGGCACGAGCACAGGGCAGGTGCCCTGCTTGTGCCAGGGGATGGGAAGGGAAAGAAACCTGTGGCTTTTCAACCAGAGATGAAGATTATGGGAAGCCATAACAGTGTAACAGGGAGTGCTTTAGTTCCTAGGTCTTTATAACCAGTTTTACTTGGCATCTATTAAAAGCATATTCAATAACCAAAAAAACAATGTTTCCAGGCTGACTCTGGGGAAGGTTTACAAAACTTTCCGCTTTTGACTTGAATTTAACATAGGATAGAACCTGAGTTAATTTTTCTCTGCAGCCAATAAAAAATGAGAGCCCACTCTGGACGAACACACAAGGACCAATGTGTGGACCCACAGCTGATAGGAAGATGCTCACTGCTTTAGTGGGCTTTGCAGTTAAGTTCATTTAGGCCCAACAACCCAGGACTCAGCAGCAAAATGCAGAAGAAGCAACCTTTGTGTGAGCTGCCATCAGGATGCTGGGGGTTCAAGCTCCTGTTTGAAACCCTCTGGGTTGGGGTTGATTTCACAGTCCTCTACAGTATTAAATCAGCACTTTTAAAAAATGTGGACTCATTACATTAGCAGTAATTTTGGATCAATAAAAAGTATCAGTTGTAACATCTTGACATTGATTTTAAACTATGGTTGAGCCATTATTTCATTTTCTCCTTTCATTTTGTAGGCAGCAAGAATTGGAGTTGGACTACCATGGACTCAGATCCATCTCTGCACATGAACTCAACCAGTAACAGCATTCACTATTCCGGGAAGCCATACAAAGGAGGAAGAGGTTATCTCCTGTTGGGAAATGAAGCTGGTTTTTAACCCAGAGTTTGTGCTGAGCTCATGGCATGTGAGAAATACTTGTTGAAACCAGGCAGGAGTGCCAGGAGTCAATGACAGCCTTTGTGGTTATGACTGGGCTCCACTGGTCATTGGTGTGAAGAAGAGGCAGAAACCAGTTACTGGAGACATGAAGGCAAGGAAGATACACCTGTATGCGCAAAACTTGCCATGACTAATGCAAACATAAGAGAGGACCAGGACTAAGCCTGGTTTGTCTCCAGTGTTTTCAGGAAAGCCACTGCAAAGGCGAATTCAGCCCAGAGATGGAGCTTGTAGAAGCAGAACCTGGGCATAAGGAAAACTGAAGGTCAGCCAACAATCAATGTCATGGTGTGTGATCCCTCTTCTCCTCATCCAGAACCACTGTGTTAGACTTGGGTTGAAGGGACTCACTGAAATCCTAATGGGAAAGAAGAGAGTTGCACCATCCCTGCAGCCACCATGCCAGCCTAGCCAAGCATGGGGCCTTGGGTGAGTGAAGGGACACGGGAACCAAAAGTGTCTTTAACCTTGGCCTTTGGTATTTTGCAGTGTTCTGTTATAATCACTCCCCTCTTCTTAACACACAGCCTTTTCCTCCCAAATTGATGCTGAGCGCTGCCAAACACCACATCAGACGCATCCTCCACCTCACAACCTTTTGCTGTTTGTCAGCTCAGCTGGTTTGCATTCCAGGAGCAAAGCAAAACAGCCAAACTGTACATCTTCAAGCTGGCTGATCAGTCCTAAACAAGACTTTAAGGTAAACATGCTACACCCAGACCTGCAGGCTAGGCAAGGGCTCTGCAAACACCTTTCCTTCACTGCCCTCCATGCCATTTCTTCCCCCTGTCAGGTCTCTGTGGTGCCTTCATCTCTCTGAGTAGACACCAAGAAAGTCTCTTACAAAGCAGAATATGATAGACCTGCTAAGCTGGCTTGGTACAGTTACATTACTGGCTGAAAACGCTTGCATTATTGCATTTATTGACGAGACATCATTGGGTTAGTGCATTAAGAAACCACGGCTTCTAAGGAGTTTTCTATTAATTTACTTACATTGAGTTTTCTATGATTGACTCATCGTTTCCTGTTCTTTTGCAATATGCATCCTAGGTGAAGGCTTCTAGCACTCAGCCTTAGATGCATCAAAATGCTGGCATGTGTCCCTCAGTCTGTGCAGAGGGGGACTGCAGGCAGGGAGCCCAAGGGTCCAGGAAGCAAGACATTTGGACTACTATTCTTATGTCCATTCACAGTTAACCTATAGCTTTACTAAAGCACAGAGCGTATAACACTACATTCAGGGTGGATGCAGGTAACAAAGATGCCCTTGTAGCTGCTTCAAAGCTCAAGACTCCTTTTTGACTGGAAGAACCACAGCCTGTAATCCTCCTTCTCAGGGTCTCCAGTGGGTTAAGAAGATCTTGAGATAATCATTTGTATCATCCTCCCTTTCCCTTACAGAACTTAAGACTGAGGAGATGACATGACAACCACAGTGAGAAGGAATCCAGTAGAAAATAGAAAAACATTATAGGGGCTTTACCAATTATAAACTCATGCCTAGGAAGACATGCAAGGAAGACATTAAGATCAGGGTGGCTGATTTTCCGGAGAACAGAACTGGACATGGACAGGTGAGAGGACAGCATTACAAATACCACTGCTTGGTTAAATCTCTGCCCAAACCAACCTCAGCATTAAGCAATTGAAAGGAGCCTTCTTCCACAGAGGAATCCCTGCTTGCACTACAACTCCATGGATAAAACAACCTCAACCTTGCAAACGGAAACACTACACAAGTCATGATAATGTTGTCCATTATTGATCAAATCTTTGCCATTTGTATTGAATGCTGCCTGTGCAAATGATCACTCAATGTTTTAAACCAGAACTTCCAAGGATAAACTTCAAGGAAGGCCATAGTACTGTCAAAACACACAGCAGGAGGATAACTCAAAGATACAGGCTATTTATCCAGGTAGAAAGGATTTCCTACTATGGAGATCTGTGTATTATGAAGCCTAGGTCATGCCCCATTCCTCTTTGTTACCCATTCAGAAATGGGATTTACCACACTGCTTCTGGGACACACAAGCCTCAGGCGTAAGTCCCAGCCTTTAGACTGACAGAGAGTAAAAATTGCCAGCAGGGAAATAAAGAGCAAGGAAAGAAAAGATACAGGTTGGAACAGTTAATGGAGAAAATCAGAGGTACATATAGTTTTCAATCTGTAGTTTGTTGGCTTTCTGAGGGATAGAGAGACTGGTGATTTTGAGAATTAAAACGGACTCCAGAAAGAAGAGCATGCAAAAATCCGACTTCACAAACATGCGGCATCACTCAGTGTCCTGCCACTCCTGGGCTTGCTTTCCACCTGCCTGGCTCTAGGGGACGAGCTGATGGGGTTCTCCTGCCAGCATTCACAGCATGCAAACTCCGGGCTTGGTAATTCAAGAAGGTGCATGTTTGCTGCTGAGAAGCAGTGTCTGGGGTGGGGGAAGAGACTCTTCCAGTGCAGGCATGGAAGTAGATGTATTTATGCATAAGGAAAATAAGATATACGTATCTAGGTACCCTTAGATGGGTCCACTAAGGGATGCTCAACGGGAATTCTTGAAGCTACTGAACAATTGTCAACTTGATGAAAAAGATGAAAACACTGCTCCTACAAAACCCTCTGCTCTAGCTATCTGTTCCCACAGGATCTAGAAACAGAACCATTCACAATGCCAATGTCAATGCTAAGGGGAACCCATATCCCCTCATCTGCTGGGACAGGCTGAGATTAGTCCTTCTCTAGCTGCGTAGTAGAGGTGCTAGATAGGCAAGCCATGGCTTCCAAAGGCCACAAGACTAGGAAAGGTCAATTTGTAGTGTTCAGAGAGCCAAAGGAACGGTGACTGAGCAGAGGTAGGAAGCTGGTATTTCTCATGCTACTGATTTGATGTTGCCGTACAGCGCAATTCAATTCACAAGGATTCCCTGGACCTTGAGAAGGGATGGGATAGGGAGGAAGGGGTCTCTAAGAAGAAAATAATTAAAATTTTTATAGTTGTTATTTGTAATTTTCCATCATTTGTTAAACTTCAGCTCCTGGCCTCCTTCCTCGCTGAGCAGACACTGGCTTGCTCAACCCAGAACAAATTCCCCATCCTCGTCTCTTTGATTCACACGTTCTGCATGACGAGCAGACAAGGAACCAGCTCATTTCTGAGCAGGCAATGGGGAGGCTCTTTGCACCTTTTGTTTTTTACTCATCTAGTACCTCTATTAAGCAGAGAAGTGATCAGAACGGGTGGTAGCAGGGTAGAGGGAGAATGAGCCGTGCAGCTTTTGATTAGTTTCGTGCGACGCATTTCCCGTGGTACCTAGAGTTTCCTGAGCAGCATCCGCATAGTGACTCTCTGCACGGTTTGCTTTTACTGGAAATGAGGGGAGAGTAAAAATTAGACCTGGAAGCAAATGCCAGACAGGAAACTTTCGATTACTGACTCTAGGTTTAAAAGACAGGCGTTCTGAGGGCCGGGTTCATGACAGGATTCGTCTGTTTGAGCGTTAAGTGAATTTAAAGAAGGAAAATCAAGAGAGCCTCTGAAATTTGTCTCATTGTGGTCAATAAATGTCACCATTAGAAATGACACATTCTGCATCGAATTGGTGGCGTCAGTTTATCTACAATTGACTGCAGGGAGATCATCTGCATTGGGAAAACACAAAGTATCCTTCTTCCTCTACATAGATTAAAAAAAGACAATTTTAAACTTGGCTAAGCCATGGAGGGCCAAAACTTTACCTTGTTTTGTCCAACAACATCTAAAAGGTTCAATTTTCTTCTTAGAAAAAAAATAAATTTACAAAGAGCTAGTTAATCTGTGAATTATTTGCACTTCTCACACAAGAAACAGCATTATATTAAGCCTGGCATTTAAAAACATGAAAGTAGATCAAACCAGAGTGTGGTGCAGTCCCTTATGGGAAGGGATTTGAATATGCATGTTCACACATCTGTTTCTCATAGCACTTTTTAGATGGGCCCTACCACTTCTGGGGAGTTACTGGCTTTGCTGAGGTTCCACCACAGCTCCTGTGAGCCCTTCCCAAATCACTGCTCAGGCACTGCCCTGCCTGGAGATTGCCACCACCACCACCAGGGTCCTCCATGCCATGGAGCAGCCCTCTACCTGCTCAAGGGGAATGACGTGGCCCCCATCACCCCATGTGGCATCACTTGCTGAGTTCATGGTCAGACTGAAAAGGCTGAGGGGCATAAAAACCCGACCTCATTTTACACTTGAACTCGGCAATCGGAGGAGCTCATGGTCACGCACAGAAGGAATTGGCAGGAATTCCTTCTGCTTCTCAGCATCCCATGCAAGCTCAGCCGACACCACCCTCAGCATCCTGGGGACTCCTCAGGTGCCCACAATGGGACCCCGCAGTCACCAGGCATCCCCGGGGACCACTGGTGCTACCAGGGCTGCTCTGGAGCTGGGGTCTGAGCATCGCAGCGTGAGAGCAGGATGTTCAGCATGCAGAGCCTGAGGGAGACACGGGGATCACTCTCTTCTTAGTCTCCTCTGCAGTCCCTATGGAAAGCTGCAGTCCCTTCTGTGCAAATAATCTGCTCCCCTGAAGGCAACTGATTATTTCCAGATTACTGTCAGTCCCAGCATGAGTCTCTGACACCAGTTTAATGGGTTAGACGGTCAAACGCCAGCCCAGGCTAACATGGCCCATGGGGCTCCTGTGATTGATACCATTCTCCATGGGCAGAGGTGGTTAGTGACACCTCAGACACCCTAGGCTGGATGAGTAGGGGCCCACTGAGTCAACCAAAGGCATCCTCCAGTGCATAGAAAAGCCTTAATCACACCCTTGAAAAGAGATATTCATGTTGTGTGTATCTCAGACAGACATACACAAACACTGAAACTGAGATATACGCACAGATACACAGACACATTACAAGGTGGCCCAGTCCAGCATTCACTCAGTGGCCAAGGTCTTGCTGAGTTCACTCAGGGCACGGACAAACCACAGCTGAGGACAACCTTGCAAAGAGGTTTCTCTCTGTGCCTACAGGACTGACCTCATGCTGGACAAAGTAATCTGAGTTTTAGCTTCTCAGTTCCCTGGAACCCTTCTGTTTCTTTTTCTCTGTTATAAATGTATTATTCTGATCATTTGGCTCAGTAATTTTTAGCTTTTCACCAAATCATAGTTTGGAAAATGCAAGAGGAAGAAATGTGGTCATGGATACCTTCAGATGTTTATCAGACCATCTGCTAAAGAGCATCTGAAGCACACATTTCACAAAGGAGCCTCCGTAGTCCTGGCTAACCATATGTTTGTCTTTTTGACATTACAATCAGGAGACAAAATAAACAGAAATGAGATGCCACAGCAAATTTGCAGCCAGATTAACATAGGAGTAATCAAACCCCGTTATCACTCTGATCTGCTGGCGTTCTGCAGCAGGAGGGGTGAGAAAACCATGCAGCAACCCTCCTTCCTTGAGGTTATGGGGCGGAAAGGACTCAGACTGTTCACAAGAGCAGCAACCAGCCCAGGGAAGGGCAGGGACCACTTCAGATGGCAGGGTGGACACAGCACCCAAAGTGACAGGCAACAGAGGAGGCTTTGTAAGCGAAAGGAGAGAGGGAAATAATCAGGAGGAAGAGGTTGGTAGCATGTAGAAAAAAGCCAGCATCTTTTCTGCTCATCAGAGCCTGGGCTCTATGCCCTGGGGAGGTGAGCTCCTGCCCACCCCAAGCAGGTCGGCATAGAGCTCTCCTAGCCATAGATGAATGCAGACAAGCTCATGGTGGAAAACAAAGCAGAATCAATAGAGGAAGGACATAACTTGTCTCTCAGATTGGCTGTCCCATTTTACAACACCAAAGCTAAAGCCACACGAGTAATTCCAGGTGACCCTGAGCCTCCACCATGCTAACCCCATCACCTCCTCACTTCCTCCCACCCTGGGCAGCAGCTCCCTGAGTGCTGTCTGGGCAGAAATGAGCACAGCTACAGCAGCACCAGTCAGAGGGCAGCATCACTGCTGGTGCACGGGCAAGACCCTGACAGCTGTGGGGCATTTGGGATGTGCCCTGACCTTGCAAAGCAATGCTTGTCTTGCACAGCACATTCCATGAGCTGTGCCAGCATCCCTTCTCTAACTTAAAATAGATGAAGAGGCAAAAGAGGGAAAGAGCTGTTTCTATTCTGTTTGCTGTGAGGAATTTGTGGTGCATCAGTTATGGAAAGAGGGATATAGGAAATCAGCCACTCCCTACACATCGCTAGAACAGGAGGCAGATCCAGCTATCTCCAGATCCAAGACTATGTTTTCCTTACATTGATGGAAAGTGACAAGTGCTTTACCAGCTGAAGTGTGGTGCTGGGGTCTGCTATGAGAGACAGCTCATCCCAAGGAGTCTCCTATATGGAACAGTCATCAGTGACAGACGGGCATCAGCTGGATGATTAACTGGCGGGTGGGCTGAGAAACAGGAGTTTTCTCTTCCAAGGGCAGGATGACACACTGAGCATCACTGGGAGGCTGCTGGGAACTAGAAGTGGGTGGGAGATTTGGGATACGAATGTAGAAGATCCAGAAACTTTCGTTTGGGAAAACAGGTGATTTGGGGAGCCCTGAATATCTGGAGGTGCAAAATTCCTTCCTGAACTCTAAGACATTAGCAGATGGAAAAGGGCAGGGGGAGCAGGTAGAACTGATATTGCCCTAACAAAACACAAAAGGGAAGAGTTATGGTTCTCCTTTGGCAGCTGAACTAAGCAATGTGAAAAGTACTCTAATGCCATATACACAGAAACTGCAGACCCTCAGCTTGGGCAAGCTCAAGATCGGTACCTTACAACAGAGAGCAACAAAACCCACCAGTGCCACAAGAGACAGATACACCGCAGGAGGATGAAAGTAGCATTTGGGAACGACCCTGATGAAGGAGCTATACAGAGTAAAGAATACTCTGAAAAAAGGACAGTGAAAGGCTTTTTTTTTACTTCTTTTTGTGGCATAAGATCAAGAAAGCAATGCGAGAAATGATCAGGGAAAAACCTGCAACATCTATAAAGAAATATCAAACCTAATGTTGTAACTGGTCAAAATGAACACTGCAAGACAGGACTCAGATTTGAAAGTAGGAAATCAATGCAGTGCCTGTGATTGCAGGCTGCTGTGACCCTAACATTGGTCCTCAGACTTCCTCAGCTATAGAGCTGATTGTGTTGAGCAGAGGTTTTTGTCTCATCGTTATGTGCAATGCTCCCTGCTTTAATAAAGCTGGATGGACCCTGCCTTTGCTCTAGCTATGAGGCTCCATGTAGGGAAAAATAACATAATCTGGATAGTTGAAACATGATCTTGGAGATTTGGTTTCTTTGGCAGGAAAGCGGTTGGAGTACTGCAGAGGTGCTGCTTGCAAAGGAAAAGCTCAAATGAAAGACAGAAAAATGAGTGGGGGCCAGGGGAAAAGAAGGAAGGACGAAATCTGCCTTCCTTTAGTTAGCACCGCATCAACCCAGGTATCTTTGGTTGGATTTTATGCCAGGGCAAAATTAAGTTTCTGGCCTCTTATAAGCTAAAAGGCACAGCAGAAAGTTTCATCTGGAAAATGCCAGGCTCCACTTATGCTTCTGAAAAACATATTATTTACAATATTTAGGCTGTAAGCTACGTTTTGAGATATGAAATGGAAGATCTGAAAGGCAAGGAGATGATCTCCACTGATCTTCAGGTCTGCATCCTGCCTCCCAAGATTAAAAATGAGATTCAGTCTCAGAATTACTTCTTAAAAGAACTGGAAAATACAGGACACAAAATACCAGAATTAGGGAGTTCTAAGGGGATGAAAAGTATCTGACAAGTACCCCAAATACCAGCCCTGCTGCTTTCCCTGGGACATGTGAATAGAGAAAAGCTCTCCCGTAGGTGAGGTTTGTGGCTGGCCTTGGAAGGTGCTCCCCACGTCTCAGAGGGTGCCCGCCTGAGCACGCTCTGCACCATGGACTCCAGGCGTGGAGGGAAGACGGAGCAGGGACCGTGCTTCATCCAGAGGCTGTGAGGCCAAAGGGAACGGGGTTGGAGAAAAGGGAATCTCTGCCATGCAACGTCTTGCCGTGTCAGAGAGCCCTCCTGTGTCCCACGGAGCAGCAGGTCCACGCAGCCCCGCGCACTGCCCTGCAGCAAGAGGAGCTCAGGAGAAGTCGCTAACTCAGTGACATGGTGATGGCTTCATGGTCCCATGTCACTTCCATCCATCACAGCGTCGGGTGATGGAGACACAGGCAAAGCATCACCCAGCCATCGGTGCCCATCGAGCCTTGTTGTACTGCTTCAGCTACGACTCCAGCAACGAAACAGAAATAAAGCAGCATAAACCAGAGCCCTGCCATCACCCCAGATAGAGTCTGCCAGCTCTGCCAGTGCTGCCCAGAGCTCTCTCTAGCCCCCATAGCCTCACTATCCTCGCAGCTACAGCCCAAGGCAGACTGGAAGGAAGATATGATTTAAGGTCCAGCAAACACAGAGATACATTGGACTGCCACAGCACAGAAAAAGCACGTTAATACCTAGAATGCTTCCCTCGATGGCACCACGACATGGTACACACACGCACACACGTACATAGATATCTACGGGTAATGCATGGGGATGGTTTGTTGGCAGTGATACAGACCTTGGCGATGGTTCAGGCTGCTGCTCTTTCCTTTAAACAGAAGCAATAGTACATTAGCATGGTGTCAGGTGGTAAAAGACGTTGCTGCTTCACTGTTAAAACATAACGAAAGGACAATACCAAACAATACAACTAGAGTGAAAGTTGTGGACAGAAGAAAGGGAAAGGAGCTCTTAATTCCTGGAGCTTCTGGCCTGGACAGAAGATCACTGGAGACTCACACAACCTCAGAGAAGACACATACAACGCACAGGGTTGAAGAGTTTATCCCAACCCATCCTCGTGCCTACGCATGACTGAGACACCCGACGGTCGTGTGATTTGTGTGAGCACAGGAGGACTTCTGTGGGCTCAGACAGCGGCCCCCTTCCTTTGGGAATGCACCGCCCTGAGGTGTTTCTGCACATAGGGAAGGGTTTGAACAGCTCCTGGGACCCTGGTGCTTTTCCCCCCTGGCCATTTTTGCAGAGCTCATCTTGCATCTCTTGATGCACGGCGTCATGCTGCAGTGCTAACACATGGTGCTGGGAGGGGAACGTCAGTGGGAAGGAGCATGGATCTCTGCCCTGGCATCCCAACACCCCAGGTGGGGTTTCTGCCTCCATAGCCTTTGGCAGCTACTTTGCCAAAGGCTAGATGGAGGGAGTGGGATGCCACAATTTTGTACATTATTTCCTACTGAGATCCCAAACCACCTGACTGACACTGAGGACAAAATGAGCTGAATGCCTGCCAAAGGGTAAGCATCACACTGCAAGCCAGGCTAAGGCCACACTGAAGTAAATACCTCGCCTTCAACGACCAGGCATCTTGGTGGCATTTCCCTTTATCATCGAGGAGAACCTGCTCTGCCTCCAACTGCACTGATTCACAGCTTTGTCACAATGGGAAATTGCATTTAATCTGGGTCCCCGAGCAGCCTTGCCCCTGCAGCCCCATGGGAAGGAGCAGGCTGCTTCTCACCAGACAGAATAAGGCACAAACCGGACTGCAGGAAGATCTGGGCAGGACGAGCTTGATTCACTCTCAGAGTGATGCTGCACCAGCCCCGGCCCTGCCTCCATCCATCAGTGACCACTGAGACCTGCACAGATCCCATCCCCTCTTCTTTAAGCTGAATGCAGCAGCGCGCAGAGACTCAAACAAAATACAACTCTGCCATCTGCTCCTTGCTCAGACAAGCTTGGAAACCCAACCTCATTCACTAGCTCAAATACTCACATATTGCCATGGGTCTACAGATCTCTACCCTCTGCAGAGACACAGCCCAGGGCAGCTCCCATCCCACACCTCCCCAGCTGGCCCTGATGCTCACCAGTCACAGCCAGCACCTCTCCATCCCTCCTTGGGTCTCCCAGAAGATTCCCTATTCCCCAAATGGGCAGCCTTACCTGCTTAAAAGCCCCAAGAACCACCCTTCCCAAGCACAGGTTGAAGCTGCAGGACTCCTGACCTTCTGGGACCATCACATATACCTTGCCACAGCAAATACTTCTCACCACTACAACCTTGCCTGCTTTTGGGGATGGAGAATGAAGTAACGCACCGTGGGCCTGAGTCTTCTCTGAGGGTGGTGAGGAATACAAAGGTCAGAGTAAAACTGGGAACACTACCTCAATCAGACCCTTTGAAAATACAACTTAGTGCTTTCAGTCAAGCACTGTAACATTACTCCAGAGCCAAGTTAGGCTGAAGAAATTCATGTATAGCATGGGAGAGGGATGGGGAGGTCACTGAACAACCTATGGGGGACCAACTGCCAAAACCTCTCACATCTTCAAGGATGTCCATATGCAAAAGGCAGGAAGGAAAAAATAAACTAAATAAAAAGGAAAAAAAGGAAACAAAACAAAAGGAAAAGGTTGCAAAGTGGGTGCTTTCCAAACTCTCAACTCTGCTGCTAACCTGAATGTCAGTCCCGATTTGCTCTTCAGGTTCCTCAGGAGCTCCAGCTGGTTCAGAGGAGGGATTAGTCTAGAGGAAGAAAATAGAGACCATTAATATCCAAGCAGAAATGACTTCAGAGCCTCCCATCTTGGAACCTTCCCCTGCTGCCCCATCCTTTCAGCTAGAACCAGCTTAGTGCCACCAAGCGCAACTGGGAGACAGCTTGGGAAGGATGGAGAGGGGTTTGGCTGCTACTTCCAACAGTGTCCTAAGGCAGAGCGGTGGGGAAAGAGAGAAAGGGTGACAGCAAAGAGAGAGAGAAACTTGTCTGCACCATTGGATTTGGAACCTCCCAAAACACAAGCAGCTGCCAGGGGTTCTGAGCAGCATCATGGTGTTTTGGCAGGAGAGCTGGTTCACCATGTGCAGTCTATTGATTGGCATTGCTCTGTGTGGAGGTCAGCACTTCGGCTCTTATTAACTGGAGAGCAAATGGGAGAACTCAACCCTGCTGCTCCTGGCAATGCCAGGAGGCATAGGAAGGAGCACCTTATGGGGCAGAGAAAACAGGGAACTGAGGTTGGGAGCAGCATGCTCCGGGGGTCACGTTCAACCAATTCCCTACTGTCCATGCCAGGTTTTGCCCCAAAATAAAGCAAAACCACGTATCATTGTCTTCTAGGAAAAATGGTTTTCCTTCTTTTCTTAGGAAGGACCTGAAAATAGGAATCCTGGTTAATTAAAAAGTAAAATAAATGAACACCCTGTCGCCTATCGTGATATTGTGCCATTGAATGAGCTCCCACATCCACTTCAGATTCTTCCTTCAGGCCCTGGGAGATTGGGGTTTGCTCCATGAATATTTAACATTGATATTCACAGGTTTTCAATCAGGAGAGATGTGAGCTGGGGGTGTTGGGGGGAGGATGGAGAACGCTGCACATGGTTGGGAAGAGCAACGCCTACTTAAAAGCTCACCTGGGGACTCTGCATTCAGGCTTAAGGCCAATGGGGCTCATCCCATGACTTGCTGCTAAACCCTTTCTAGGCCACCAGTGTGCCCTTGTCAAACTAAGGTCCCTGCAGTTGGGACCATAGCCCAAAGAGCCACAACCCCAAGGCAGTGTACACGTATGGCTCTGCTGGAAAATGAGCCACCAAGGTTTTAATTAGAGCAAGAATGACCCAAACTGGCCTAAAATGGCAACTTTGGACTGGAAGGAAAGGAGCACAAGTGCTCACAGACTGGTCTTGGCCGAGGTGCTGTTGCTTACTGTAAAGTAAAGGCAGAGCTATTCACGCCCATGTTTTTTCAGCCATTATGAGACCAGTAGTTTCATAGTTTTCCTCTAACTGAATAAAAAACCCAAGTGGAAAAGCTTTTCCTCTGCATCATGAAACTCATCCTCGCAAATCCCCCCAGTTGTTCAGCAGAGCGGACTCGGTGCTCACAAGATTGAGGCAATCAGAACATCTTTCAATCCTAAGAATGGAGAAAAGAGTAAAAATAGGCCTGAAAATTTTGGCTCGGCTCCCCAGGCCAGCTCTGCTGCCATCCAGAGAGCACATCCTGCTCTGAATGAATTAATGATTCTCTTCACTCAAGAAGTCAGGAGGATGCTGACCTTGGTGCAGTGGAGCAGCATATGAGTGCTGGGCTGTGTCCTCCCTTCAAACCCACGGCAGGGTTGGCAGGTTCCTTCCAAGATGGGTGAATAAAATCAAGCACAAAGTGTACTTAGCAGCTAATGAAGGGTGGACAACCGTTCTTTGGTGCATTAGTTTATCATGGATGGCCATATCCAGGATAACAGCCCTGCTTTCTCTGGCCAGAATCACACATCCAGGGCTCCCACTGATACAAGTCTCAGAGCTCATTAACTCACTGGATTGAAGGACTCAGGATCCCAAAAGGAGCTCTTTCCTTTGCATAACACCAGTCTACACTGTACTGAAGGTGGGCATCTCTTGGGCCACCATAGATGCTTCCATGCAAAGGTAAAAAGACACACAAGGAAACACAGAAATTCACTGTTTCTGTGGTAGGGTGATGGGTGGAAAAAAAGAGCCCAATATTGTACTGAAACGATTAAAAACGGGTGTAAACTCATCCAGGTACTTGACCTGAAATTCAATTTGAATCGAATGCTCAGCCTAACCTGTCATTACAAGAGAGCAGCTTGAGGAACAGCTACTGCATTGCACCATTTCACCAGAACCTTGGAGAAAAGGCAGGGCTCTGCTCAGTGCTTTGACTGAGCTTTGCTATGAAACACTGATGGAGAGCACACTGCACCCTTGTGTGCCACCGTGTCCTCCGGAGACATGGAGAACGGACCTCTGGGCTGGGGCATCTCATGTTTTCTCTCTCTCCTCCTGGTCCATGTGTCACTTGTTAGCAAGGGAAGCAAGTTGTGGTTAAAGGGGAGCTAAGTGAGAAGATCTGCACGCCACAGGAACACACACAGCTCATGCTATACACCGCAGCAACGCTTCCGAGTCACCAGCTTCCATCACCCCTCCCAGGACAGCACGAACACCACACTACCTCCAGCTCCCCTATCCAAAGGGAAGGCAAATTCCCTATTCCTGGTAGCACAGATAAGGTTCAAGCACTTGGGGACAGTAGGGATATCATGCCTCCAGCCAGGACATCATCCAAACCCCACAACACGAGGAGGGAGCAGCACACAACAGAGGGTAGGAGTATACACAGAACCACACACACACACCACGACATACACAGAAACTATGATGACGCCTTTGAACAGTCCCAGTAGGAACAATTAGGAAGACAGTGACAAGGAGATGGATGCTGGAATGGAATGGTGACTTAAATGAGTCTCCATGCTGTGTTGGCGTTCCTATGAGGAGCCAATTTTTACCCTAACAATGTCTTTATGTCTCCAACCTAAGCTATTTTTCATAACTAAGGACATTTATGAAACTTATAAACTACTTTATCATAAGAAATGGGATGAAGTGGCACATTCTTACTTCACTCCTTGCAGCATTAAAATGTCCAGTTCTCCCAACAGGATGTTGCTCAGCACAACAGGAAAGTGCACTCAAAATATTACAAATGCAATTCATGGATGCAATTTGCTGTAAATTAACCCCATAAAATGGTTAAGTGTGATTTACTAAGGCTGTAAAACTTGCATCTGTGAAAACTGGAACCAGGTTTGGAAATCAGGTGCTAAATCACATCAGTTTTAGGAGCGTTAATACATCTAGTGAGAGTTTAAATTGCTCTAAGAACAGAGGTTGGCCCCCAGTCTTGAAATGCAAGCCATTTATTCCCCATCTTGATACACTGACTTGACTACACCTCCAGACACCAACTTCATCTAAAATATGCCCATGATTTTCAAATCTACTCTTTTCTGCAGAACCCAAGATAATATTATTTATCATAAATCTTACACAGCCATATACAGGTCTTTGCATTTGGATTGACCCCAAAAGGTTAAGTCCCAAACTGAATAACTGGGGCTTTCTCTAGGTCAGTCTGGGAAGAAAAAAACTGAAATGGAGAAATCCTGCTGAGATGGGACACCCGTTTCCCAAAAATCAGATTGGATTATTGGAAGAAATGAATGATTTTTCCAGTTCATATTCATAGAATACCCTGGTGGAAGGGACCTCAAGGATCACCTGGTTCAACCTAGGAATGGAGTGGAACATCTGGTCCAATCTCTTTCTCCTCCAGATGTTGTCCTCAAATAAGGCACAGCTACTACTATGATTTCATTCCATTCTACCACTGATGCATCCCATGGTGCCACCACGCAGCAAATTCAGCAAACCAAGCATTGCCTGGTGGAAACAACTCCTACAGCATGGAGTGAGAGAAATGACACAATGAAGGATGGGAGCAGAGGGCGGGAGAAAGGGGAACACGCAGGAGTGATGGCAGAGGGAAAATGGGAGTATGAACAGGAAAGGTTTCTCATTAAACATTGTATGAATCAGAGAAGGTTGGTAAGACCATCACGAAATAACCTTAAAACACCAAGCTTATCAAGCACTCTCCCATTCTCCTTCCTTAAATCATCATTTTGGCAGATGGTTACCCAACACGTGTGTGTACCAGCAGCTAAAACATATATGGAGGCGCATAGGGTTAGTCTGTAGGCAGCAGGATGGGGAGTCTGGGTTGGGCTTTCAACTCATTCCTTTGAATAAACTGATCTTCGGAGGTTTATTTTCCTTTCCTTCATTTGTTTTTGCAATTGAAAGCTTTGCACGTTACAGTCCCAAACGAAGAACAAGGAGTGACATGACACACAGTTTCAGGGTCACATGCACTTCATACCTGGAGGCACCGTACGTTTGCGTTTGCGTGCTTTTCAAGTGTTTTCACCCAAGAAAACCAAAGGGATAAGAGAAAGAAAAAGAGGGATGGGGGGAAGGTGGGGTGGAGGAAAGGGGAAAAGAAACAGAATAAAGAAAATTAGCATATGAACCAGGCTTAGAGGTGAGCACGGAGCGTAGGCTGAGCCTGCTCAGGTGCGCCCGTGTCACCCTCATGTCACCCTTGGGGACAGGCAGTTGGCACCTCTCACTCTGAAAGCAAATGAGCACCAAAGAGCAGGGAAAATAGGGGGGCCACCAAGAGGCCTTTCATAGGACACCCAAAGCCCTCGGTCCCATCAGCCAGGGGTACCTGAGCTGAGATGATGGCTTGGATGTGCCAGTATTTTAGTGAAGGCCAATATATGAACATAGTTGAGATCAGTAGTGACATAGTGACAATAAACAGCAATTTTTTATCCAGCAAATCCAGTGGCTGATGCAGAACAGGCCATGGTGTCTGGCAGCATTACGAGCTCAAACTATACCTCTACATAAAGCGGCTTTGTGCCTGTTTCAGATTTGGTTCTACTACATTTTGAATTTTGAGATGAAATCCAAGCTTCTCTCAAGGGGCCACCTTATTTTCCCCGCACGAGTGAGACTAACTCTACTGCAGTGATTTGAGTGATGTTCTGGAGACACGTGAGCTCCTCCAAGGCATGTACAATGATTTTCTCATATTGTCATTTTGGAAATGCCTTGGGAAAACAAGTAAGCTCAAGTCACAGGGCTCCTGCTGTGAGGAATAAGCAGCCCAATGTTGAGCAGAAAGGGTGCCAAGGTAGTGATGATTGCAGATCACCCCCTGGCACTCTGGAGGGACATGGGGATACTGCATTCCTCCAGCCCACTTCCTAATCATGCTGCAGCCATCGTTTTAATGCGGCACTGGGCTTGATGTGCTGCTCTGGCTGCACCAGTGCAGAGCTGGCTTTAGTGAAGTGGGTAGGCAAGGATAGATGCACAGTGTGACTGATGGAAGCTGCAGCCAGAACATACAGTTACCCCATTTTTAATGTTTTCCCTAATTAATCTGACTGCATCCAAAATACATTTAACAGAAGCTCACTGCTTTCTTGGTAAAAATATCCAATTTCGCCAAAGAGCTGAATCCATCACTGCATCCATGACTCACTCTCCTAGGTGATGCTCGCTTTACCTGCACACACACAGGAGTTGGGATTTAAAGGTGAAACTGGGACAGCAGAGTAACCTGTGCCTAAGGAAGGCCAAGGTGATGCTGCTGCTTGGGACTGACTCTGGAGCAGCACCCAACCAGTAAAACTGCTGCCACCCTGCTACAGCTTGGTGCTGGCTTTTCATTCAGGAGAGCTGGGCTTTTCACCAAGCTGCATTCCTGTCCTTTTTCCTCCTTAAAGCTTTTATTTAGGCTCTTCTGCAGCTCTTCAACTTTTGTTCCTGTGTCCTAGCTCCATGGGTTCTAACAAGTGGATTAAGCATCAGGTAATTACGCCAGGACATCCTCATGCAGAAGGTGTCACTGTATGTCTGGCTGCGTGGTAAGTTCAGTCTTTCAAAGAGCAGTGAAACCCAGCAAAGTTCACTGAAATCAGCCCCTGGCTTCCCGCAGTTTGCAGTGGACTTTGGACCAGGTGCCATCCTCATCCTCTCCAATAGCTGATCACAGCCAGCGCTGCTAATGTACAGTGAGATGGGGGAGTTTCAATGGGTGAGATTAACACTATCGGAAAACAGCTTTGTTCTGTTTTGTTGGGTGGTTGTTTGGTTTTGGGTTTTGTTTTTATAAGGCAAAATCTTGAAGCTGGTTCATAAATCTCTAGGGGAAAAAAAAAAAAGGCAATCAGACACACACTGGGAATGAATCCAATGGAAACTCACTGACCACAACAACGTGACTAGCTCCTAAAAACACACCAGAAGGGGATGCAGACAGCATGGAGTGCAAAATGAACAACAACGTTTTGCATTTTAGCTTCTGGAGAAGCCTCTGCCTCGATGCCACCAACCATGAGAATGAGCCGGGGGATGCAATGCTTCCCCGCATACCAGGGAGAAGCGAGGCATGGCAGGAGACTGTCTTCATCTCCATGAAGCCCCAAATCCCAAGAGGCTGTGAATTCCCAGGACACTGCTCTAACTTGTGTTGTATCAGCTGAAAAGGCTGCCTGGGGATGATGATGAGTTACCTCTCCTTAAAGCAAGGCAGATGGATGCTGCTAAAACACAGCGGTGCTTTACCAGCATCATCCATCACAGCCACAGTCCTTCCCTACTTGTGTCAACAGATCATAAAAGCACGGCCTGGTTTGGGTTGGAAGGCACCTTAAAGCTCATCCAGTTCCAACCCCCTGCCATGGGCAGGGACACCTTCCACTAGAGCAGCTTGCTCCAAGCTCCATCCAACCGGCCTTTCTCATGATGGATAAATGAAATGCAAGACATGGGAAAATGCTCATTGAATCCTCATTCAGTTTTCTTCCTCTTAGAAAAATAATAAGGAAAGGAAAGAAGGACCCAGGGCAAATGCACCCAGGGAAAGTGGTGGGAGAGAAGTTTGCTGAAAGGCAGAAGGACCATAAGAAACCAACTGGAGCCACAAGGAGAGCCTGAATGGGTGAGAGGAGCTGCACACAGGGCAAGGACGGCGTTTACCTATGATCCAGAGCAGCTCGGAAGGGAGATCTTCACCCTTGGGCACAGCAACTGTCACAACACAACGCAACTACCAGCAGCCGTGGAGAAACAAAGGTGAAAAGAAGAGCATGTACACACACACAGACATGGAAAGAAAAAAAACCAACAGAGAAATTAAAATCAAGTCAAAAAGAAACAGACAAAGCCAACCACAAAGCAAAAAAAACTCCAAAAGAAAAAGCATATACTGGCTCTAGAAATCAACTTTTTTAACCAAAAAATAGGTAATAAACGAAACTGTATAACCAGATAACAAAAATAAATATGGAGACAGTGGTGTCATGAGGAAGGCAGTGGAAGAGGGAGAAGGAGGTACCTGTACATGGGGACGGTGACGGTGCGTTCGTAGTACTGCCAAGTGGAGTGCAGGTCCGTCCGGGACAGGTTGGTGGCATAAAATCTCCAAGCCGCCTATGGAGGGGATCATAGTGGGGCTGTGAACCCGCTATGGGCAGCACTGCCCTTGGTTTATAGCCTTTGGCCAACACTGAGTCCTCCCTCTGCTATGGGATGGGTCTGATCTTCATTTTCCTTGGTTTAATACATGCCAAATCTGGGGTGGTACCATGGTACTCCTGACTACGTGAGCCCAGCTAAAAGTGCTGTAGGTACCAGGCACCCACTGTCAGGTTGAAGTTAGGCATCAAATAAGTTTTGCTGCCCATCAGGGAGTTAAAAAACGTGGAGAGAAAGGAGCAGGGGAATGTAAAATGACTAATTTCATGTCTCCAAGATACACACCAAGACCCACCTTCTGCGCAGGCATCTGTTACCATGAAGAAAATGCTCCCAAATGTAACTTTCTATCAGTATCAATATTCTCTTTGGTGGGGAGGGAGAGGGGGAAAAAGCTGGGTAAAACCAGACTCTCCAAATGCATTTGTCTCACTGTGCTGGGCTGGATTTTGTTCTGTTTCCTACCACATGTTATTTCTCCATGGCTGATTTCCTGGCATCTATTCCCACACAAGACTAGTCACCAGCTGCTGTCTCACACCTTACACACACAGCCCCATTCTTCACCTGCCTGTCTCCTCCCCAGCACATAAAAGACTATTAAACCCCCCCAAAACGTGGTACCCCCAGGTGATCCTCACCTGAATCAGGCCCGCTGCTGGGTTTCGCCTCTTCTCAAAGTGTTTTTGCCGATGCTGCTCTTGAACCTTCAGAGCAAACCCTGAACCCAAGATGCCCTGGGGAAGAGAACAGACATTTGCAGTTAGCAGGGTGTTTGCTAAGCTTTTACTTAAACATTGCAGCCAGCTTTCCCTCCAAAGGTTTGTTCTATTTCTTGCTTCTGAAAGCCAGGAGAAGGCCATCACCCCCAAGAACAGCTTTTGCAGGAGTTTTTGGTTTTGCTTCAATAAATACTTGCGCAAAGCCAAATCTGGAGTTTCCATCTCGTTTGCTCATACACAAAGTGCCCAATCTGTGGGTACTCAGACAGGGTTTCCCCTTTTGTCCCTCTTTTCTTGACTCAAAAAGCACAGAGCTGTTGCAGACAGGAGATCTCTGGATGCTTTGTGTCACTGGATGTGGCTCCAGGGGCTTGGGACAACATGGGCCGAGCTCAACACCCTCCCATCAAGATGCTGCAGCCCCCACTTACAGCAGGAAGGGCGAAGAAGGAGACGCCAATGAGGGTGAACGTAGCCGCCAGCAGCCGCCCATTCCAGGTCTGCGGGTACTTGTCCCCATAGCCGATGGTGGTGAGAGTGATCTGCAGGGAGGAGAACACCACAAAGCCCTTGGTCAGATTTAGAGCTGAACCCACACAGCCAAACTTCTTGCAGCATCAGAGTGTTCAAGGCCAGGTTGGATGGGCTTGGAGCAAGCTGCTCTAGTAGAAGGTGTCCCTGCCCATGGCAGGGGGTTGGAGCTGGATGATGTTTAGGGTCCCTTCCCACCCAAGCCAGCCTACGATGGGCACCTCTGTGGGAAGCAGTGATTTCCCGATGCCCAGGACAGCGCTGCCGCCTTCCTCCTCAATGCACTGAGTTTTCACACCAGTTGGGAGCATTTTCTTGCCTTCAGCGGACACAGAGAGCTGCCAGCTGGTGCAGAGGCTTGCGGCAGCTCGGAGCCTCCCCCGGGAGATGGGGCTGTGCCTTCGGCAGGGGAAGCAAACCGGCACCGTTCCCCCAAATTCCCTTTAGGCTCCTCATGGAGGAAGGCAGAGCTGACTGCGTGCAGAAAGATCTGATGCTGCTCATTCCCGATTTTCCCAGCAGTGTCTATTAGCTGGTCTCCCTATGTAAAAACAGCATATTATGCCAACAGGATGAATTATGGCTGCTTCATGCAACCTAGTTTAGGGATGGGTTTTTTCCCCCCTCCTAAGTATTATTGCAGTGCACCAAAAGGATGCTGGCAAGTTGCTGTGTGTTTTGGGGAAAGAGCAGAGAGTTTTGCTGGGGACAAAGAACCCTTTGAATTTCAAATAGCAGGAAAAGATGCATTTTCCCACTTGTATGGACTGACACAAAACCTGGAGAGGGGCTTTGGACAAGGGCCTGTAGGGACAGACCAAGGGGAATGGCTTGAACCTGCCCGAGGGGAGACTGAGCTGAGCTCTTAGGCAGAAGCTCTTCCCTGTGAGGGTGCTGAGGCGCTGGCACAGGGTGCCCAGAGAAGCTGTGGCTGCCCCATCCCTGGCAGAGCTCAAGGCCAGGTTGGACACAGGGGCTTGGAGCAAGCTGCTCCAGGGGAAGGGGTCCCTGCCTGTGGCAGGGGTTGGAGCTGGAGGAGCTTTAAGGTCCCTTGAACCCAAACCAGTCTATGATTCTATGCTGGGTATCCCCCAGGGCTTCTGAGAGGGTTTGGAGAGCCTGGGATTGGCAGGGGAAGGCAGGGAGAGATGATCTGACTGGGAACATCCTGGATACTTCTGCCCAAACTGGACCCCACTGTGCCAAGTGGAAAGTTGTCCCTATCCCCTAACCTCCACAGACAGAGCCAGCCCCAGGGATGGGAGCTGACACTGTACTGATGTAGCTCTGGAAACCTCATGCATTCAGCTCTGAATAAAAACACTTTTACACAGATGGAAGAACAATCCCAAAGCGCTGTTTAATTGGACCCACTAAAAGCCCTATCAATTAGATGCCAGTTTGCCAAAGTGGTTAGAAAATGCAGCTACATGGCTACTCCTGACTGAAACACAAAGTCAAAGCAATGCTCTCTCCATAATCACTGCAAAGTTGGTTTGCAAACTCTTTCTGATATATAGAGACAAGTACAAGGATTGGATCCACCAAGAGCAGACCAAGGGATGAGTTCCTGAACCTGCAATTTGATTTAGTTTGCTCATCTCTTAACACCTGCCTGTACTGCATCCAGGAGCTGGACAATGACAAAACCTCTTTATCTTAATGGAACTCCCAAGTTTACTCCGAGCTTCTCAACGGCAACACAATCACCTCCGCATCCTGGAACAGGGAGCAGCGATCCTATGCCAAAGGCTCGCATGGACTGGGAAGCAGGAGGGATAAATCTGCCCATGGTTCTCCCAGGACAGAGCTCTAATCCGGGCTGCTGCTTTTTCCTCCCTGTTTATTTTCTAGTTATGTCAAATCAGGCTTTGTTTTTGTATTTGTCATCACCAAGGGCCTTGAAAAGCAATTTACTGCTTCGTTCCCTTTGTTGGAACAGAGGAGCTGCTTGATCAGCCGATTCCACCCCAAGCCTGTTACTGGGATTTGATCAGATCTGGGCTTTTTGCTCCATGCTTTGTAATCAAGGCCAAACCAGCGCCCCAGCGTCGGAGCCGAAGAACAATAACACAAGGAGATTAGAACGTCATTAATTCTCCTTGTTAATGGGGTAATCCAATAATCCACATGCGCACGCACCCCCAGAGCAAACCAGAAGCATCCCCTTTCCTCCTTTGTCAGCAAAGATGTGAGAGGGAAGAGCTTTCAGTGTTGAAGTCTGTCTGGTACGTAGATCCTATTAATTTTATCACATTCATTGCAGTGTCTTTAGCAGGGTGTTACCCAAGGATCGTTTTAAATGATTCAGTTTTAAATACATGTCAAAACCATGAGCAAAGCTTCTGTGGGGTCTTTATCCCACCTGTCTCCACTGTCACGACAGAGCTAAATCCCACGACTGGGAGCACACGAGTTTCCAGCTTCCTTGCGGCTCCAGGCAATTCAAGGAATGGGATCTCTTAACATTTTCTATGAGGTTCATTTAAGAAAAGAGCTAAACGAAGCAGCCTGAAGCCATTTAATAGAAATGTTAACTAATCCCTAAGTTGACTCCCCACATAAGTGATAGAAGATGGAGGGTTAATGGACATTTAATAACCAGCAGCTGCTCTATGAAAATCACTTACCAGACCCCACCAGAGTGCATCTGCGTATGTATCAAAGTGCTCATTTTCTCCTTTCTCGGCCAAATATACCAGGAAAGAGGCCAGAATGAGGCACAGGAAGCCAATATACCAGGCAGTAATCAGCTCCTGCAAGAACATTAAGGAGTAGGAAAGAATAACTGCAGTCTTGGTGCACATCTATCTCCAAACACTGCGTTGCTTGTGGTTGGATCTGAACTTTCCCTGCATTACTTTAGGCTTTGGTTGGAGATGCTAATGCAAAGGGGGCAAACCCCATCATCTAAACACATACAGCAAACAGAGAAGGAAATAGAGTGGTAACAGCTTCATTATTTTGAGGTGTGGAACTGAGGCTAAACAAAAAATAATCCAGTTTCTCCAAGGAAGAGGTGAAAACTGAAATGGGAACCCCCAAATCCCTCAGGACTCTGCTTAGGGCAGGTCCCTCCCACTGACTGGGGAGAAGCTACATAGCTGGGATATGGGTACAATATATCCCCAATTTCAGGGAAGCTTTAAGCAGAATTCACAGGATTTTAGGATGAAGTTAATGCAAGGATGAGCAAAAAACACCCACAAATTCCCTGTGATTTTTACATAGCTCTGGATGAGCTGGCAAAGCTTTTCAGGGGGAAAAGTGCAGGAAACAGGAGAAATGTGAAATTCCTACGTTTGGCAGCAGGAAACAAAACAATCAACAAACTCCTCCCAATCCAAAGAAAGGGCAAGATGCCTTCCATTGGGAAGAGGCACTCAGTGTGTCTGTGAGAGGCTGCTGCTCGCAGGATGGGCTTTCAGATACTCATCCACTTTGAAGTGCATCCTGGACAAAGAGCTCACAACACCATATGTGCTTAATGAGGCTGCTGCTAATTGCTGACTCTGAAATGAGCTCTATCAGTGTGCAGGTGGTCTCTACATTCAAGATATTCCCTTCAAACAACTCGACATCTCTCCCTTCTCTCCTTTACATAAGCTCCATCAAACCTTAGGTATCTGACTTTGCATTGCTCCCCATGTTACCTACAGCATCTTTCCAAACCCCCCAGGCCTGAGAGATGTTTGGGGTGAAGAAGTGAACCAAAGCAGTGAAAAACATGCAGAGCAACTCAATGTCATTGCTGGGGACTCACCTTGCTGTGCGCGTAGACCACAGAGCCCAGGAGCTTCCATGTGCCGCCCCTGCGGTCCATGCGGATCATGCGCAGGATCTGCAGGAACCTCAAACTCCTGAGTGCTGAGGTGGCAAAGACGTTCCCCTGGGACCCTGCCGCCAGCACGGCGATGGATGCGATCAGCACCATGATGTCTGCACAAAGAGAGGGCATCGAAAGCTCAAGGAATGCTGCCGAACCCCTAACAAATGGGATGGCAACTGCTACTGCCACTGGCAGCTTAAGGCTCTGCATTGAAGAGATCTTGTGTCAGTCACAACTTGTGCTGGAAGGACATAGCATCACTCTTAGCCTGGATGTGAAAGGAGCCACTGCACACATTATGGATGTTCTGGTTTCCTTCTCTACACTCATTCCATATGATTGTTTATTCCATAAAAATGGGAATGATGAGTGTCAAATACTGCAAAGCCTGATTTTTTTACATGATTCAGTGTTAACACTGTTAAACTGGATTAAATCATTGCAAAATGCATACTCGTTTTTATCAGCTTCAGAGCTGTCCATAGATGGGAATTCCCCCATCTAAATTGGGAATTAAAATCTAGAGGTCCACTATAGCATCACAGAGTGCTCAAGGACAAAGGAAGTCGAACAAAAAAAAGCCTTAATCTATGTATCTTACATTCAAAAAGATCCTGTAAACTCCCTCTTTCCCTAGTTTTCTGTGCAAGTTTCATAACAGTGTTTTTGTGTGGAATAAGCTAAAATCATGCATATGACCACTGCCAGCTCTGGACATCCAAAAGCAAGCTCCATAGGGAACGGCACAGCCTGCCTGCCTGCCCATTCCTTACCCCATTACAAAGAACTGCTGTGCACAGATGGCCCCTCTCACAAGAGGATCACCAAGTACATTCCAAACAAGAATTAATTAAGTCTCATAACTCCCTTGTGGGGCAGCTCATCAGCACCAGGGAAGGCAAAGTGAGATGCACACAGATGTCAGCGGCTTGTGAGAGATCCAATGGTGAGGTTGGAATCAGGATTGCATCATCTCAGCTCCTACACTCAGCTTCTGCTGGGGGAATCCCTCCCCATGGCTGTGGGCAGTTGCCAGCGATGCCTGGTGTACAACAAAGAGCATCCGCAGCTTTAATATTGGATGCTGCTTGACATCAACGTGCTTTTCAGTTGGGATCAGTGCTTTGCCATTGAAGATAAACGCAGATAAAAGGGAAAGTTTGGGAAGAAGGAAAAGTTTGGGAAGAAGGAAAAGTTCGGGAAGAAGGAAAAGTTTGGGAAGAAGGAAAAGTTCGGGAAGAAGGGTTTTAAAGGCTCCTTCAGAGTATTCCCAGTTTATCTTACCGATGACACAGAAAGGCTTGCGGGCAAACTTTAACCTTCCCCTCCAGCCCCGGTATCGGCAGCAGCAGCCGGCGGCCCAGATCCTCACGAAGTATTCCACCCCGAACACCACAATGGTGACAATTTCCTGCAAGGGAGACAGTGCTGTTAGGGGAGAAAGGTGCACCATGAGGAGCAGGCTCCAAAACTGAGCACAGACCCATTGCCTGGCCTCCAAATGCCTCAAAACACATCACAGAGCTGTCTGGACCATTAGAGAGCCCAGGCTTGGATCACTGTCAGCTCTTTGCTGTTGTGCCTCCCATCACCTTCCCCTAGGGTGGTGGGAGGTACTGCACATTGTAGCCACGAACTAGAGCTTTACACCCTCCCATACTGTTTGAGGAGTACCTGGTATCTCCTCATCATTAACCTCCAGGACTTAACTAGGTTAATGCTGAGCAGCAAGGGGAAGACCAGAGATGGGATTCACCGACTGCTCCATCCTAAGACTCTTGGCAGGGGATTTGAGCTTTTTCCCTGTAAAATCAGCCTGGTTGTCCCTGTGTGCTGGCCTGTCTGGTGTAAGAGTGTGTAGATCCTCTACCCCTCAATGCCCAGCAAGCACACTGATGCTGTGCATCACAGCTCCTTCCATCACCATCCAAACACCCTCTGCATGCTCCCTTCCCTCCAACCTCTTTATAGCAGCTCCTGCCCCAGCTTTCATGTGTCAAACCTGACGAAGCCCTAATTAGTCTGCAGCACCTTTTGATGTCAATGTAGGGCAGGGGCTGAGGAAGAGGAAGACAGACAAAAGCAAAGGGGACACGTGGATCTGGCAGCCTGGCAGTGTGTGCAGGAGCTCTGCTGGCTCCCAATGGCAGGAGCCACGTTGCCAGTGTGAGGGATGCCAGGCTATTTAAGGAACTAAACTCTGCAGCTTGAGGATCAAATAGTTGCAGGGATGCTGTAGTGTGGGAGAGGAGGCAGCTACACAAGCTGCTCCCTAAGGAGAGCATCCGTAGCTTTAATATTGGAAGCTGCTTGACATCAAAGTGCTTTTCAGTTGGGATCAGTATTTTGCCATTGTAGATAAATGCAGATTAAAAGAAAAAGCTTCGGAAGAAGGGTTTAAGGGCTCCTGAAAAATATCTTTAGTTTATTCCTGATTCCTCCTTTTCACATTTTTCCTATTACTTCCCTACAAGTACCAGTGGTCCCCTTCTCACAAGCAACAGTTCAAATTCTTGCCTCAGTCAAACACCCCCAACCTCACGTTTTTGTGCTGTTTTGAGTTGGTTTTAATGCCTCACTGAAGGCTTCATTTGCAACCTCGCACTTACCAGGATGTAAAGGGCCCCTTCTGAGCTGTTCTGGTACTCATCAATGGTCGAAAAGACTGACAGCACCAGGCAGGAGAACACTAGTAGAAAACTACATGATACAAGAGAGAGACAGAGAGAGACCATCAGCCTTCAGGGCAGGAACTTCTCATACTTCAGTCTAGTCCAGAGAGCATTTATGGACATATTTCTCCAGGGGTATTTACTGTGATGCTGCTACAACGCTATGTAAAATGGGGAAGTCCCTGGGTTTACTATCTGGAAGGGTTCAGTGTGGATGGACCCACTGGACTGTTCCCAGTTTGGCAGGTTCCGATTCAATTCCTGTCCCAGCTGGCAGCTCTGACAGCATCTGATATTATTTCCCCAAGGAACCATCAGCTCTTCCTGCAGCATGCATTCCACCAGCATGCAAACAAGCAAGGCTATTTATTAATGTGATAACAGCCGACTCGACTGCTTGATGAGCAGGAGCACAGGCTCAAAACAAGCTCCACTGGTGCTCTGTGGATGCATTTGCATCCACCACTGCCTACATGGGAATTACAGGGTCATAGAGTGGAAGGGACCTTAATGCTCATCCAGCGTCACCAGGGATGAGGCAGCCACAGCTTCTCTGGGCACCCTGTGCCAGTGCCTCAGCACCCTCACAGGGAAGAGCTTCTGCCTAAGAGCTCAGCTCAGTCTCCCCTCTGGCAGGTTAAAGCCATTCCCCTTTGTTCCCCTTGGAATGGGCACTGCATTTCCCATCCATAGCAGGGTATTTTGGGGTGGATTTAGTGTTCCTTTCTTAGACAGGTACTCCAGATTAACCCCTTACAGCCTGGAATGGCTGTTGACTTTCAGACTTGCTGTAGTATCACTGGGAGGTGGATCATTGTCACTCTGCTTTTCTGTGGCCAGACATGGGACATGGCTGAGGTTTGATCCAGTCCAAGGGATGGGATCTTGATGCTGTTGGTGTCTTAGTCTGAAGCCAGAGGGAACCCAGCTTTGGTATCAGCTCTCTCAGCCTCTTATTTAGCATGGAACAGGGACGGTTCTCAAAACCCCCTTACAGCACACACCCAGGTCTCCCTGACATCCACTTCCATGGCCTAATCCCAAAAGCAGCCTCAGAAGTGCCGCACCACCACCATTCCCAGGCTATCCATTAAAACTGCCAGCTCTGCCTCCCGCAGGGCTGGATGTACTAATGCAAACAAAAGGCACCAGATGAGTGACAGGAACTCGACCCTCAGCGCTCAACACCCAGTTCCAGAGCTATGGAGGAGCCCTGGCATCTGCTCATGGATGGAGATGGTTTCCACTGCCGGTGCCCACTGCTCACTCCAACAAAGGGAGGGAAATTAATTTAGTAAAGATCAATTTACTGATACCCTAAAGGAGGCCACTGCAAGGAGAAACTGCAAGCTGCATTCTCTAAAAGCATTAAATAATTCATCTGTCTGGCTTTGTCTCACAGTCCTACAAACTGCATTCTGAATATTTATAAGGCACGGTTGGTGGGTGCTGCTCCTTTCTGTTGTAGAAAGAAAAGGGAGTTTCACACCACCCAGGTCGTGCTTGCGGCTTTGCAATGACCATTAATGTCACAGTAACGAGTAAAAATAGGGGGATTTGGAGTATTTATTCGAACCACAAGCTGAAGCATCCCTCCCTGTTGTAGGTAAGAGACCTTCAGAGCCATCCCCTGAAGGCTGAGCTTTGTCAGCAGCAGGATGAACTCAGCACAAAGCAGATAAGGACAATTGACTGATTTCTCACTGTAAATTTCCTCTTCTCACACCAGGTCTGGTACCCACAGACTTGAAACAACCTCAAGAGAGTAAGAAAGCTTCCCTTGCGATCCCATTCATTATGTCCCTTGCTGTCTTCTGTGGGTCTTTGAACGCTTTTTCTCCCCAAGCTGGTCTTTAAAACCCTCGCTATAAAAAAGCAACCTGCCCTGCACCTAAATGAGCTCCATCCATTCCTACAATCTCCAGGTTGCCTGGGCCAGGCCCTGGGAGCTACTGCCCATGCAGTGACAGGGGGGAATAGAGCCCTGCACTGCTGGAGGGAAGGAGCTGTGGCTGGGCCAGGCAGCCCTGATCCAGGGTGGCCCAGACTGCGCTTCAAACTCCGATGTTGGAGTGAGAAACAAATGAATAATCAATGGAAGAAGAAAGAGAAGAGGAAAACAAAAAGCAATTATAAGGGAAAGGGATCAGTGGGAAAGGAAATCCTGCATATTCTGGTTAAAGAAGTAGAACACAGGTTGGATTTTTGTGCCTGAGGAGGTGCTGAAAGCATCAGCATCAATACAGACTTGCACATTGTTTGCTAAGGTGACCACCTTGGATGGATCTAGAATAAAGCCACACTCAAACAACAAGTCCTGGCAGGGACAACATCACAAGAAAGAGGATTCCTGTGCATCAAGTTTGTCACTCAACATATATTGATGAAACAGAGAAAAGGAAAAGGAATGGCTTTATCATTTCAAACCCCAAGGGTGGATTGTGGCAGCAGTGGTTATGAGTGGAGAGCCAGGGCAGCTCCTGGTGCTGCTTCTTCCTTATCCCAGCATGTGGCTGCAGCCTCATCCCTATTCCCCTCATGTCCCCAGGGCCAGCTCAGGGCTGCTGTAATTCCAGCTCTACTCAGGGCTCTCATTGCCACGGAGACCTGATGCAGATCACACTTGCAGGGTCAGCATTAATTACAGCACTGCCAAGCATGGGAGGCAATGGGTAAGGCACCAGCTTCTCCAAGGAAACATAGGAGTTCCATGGCCAAATCCCACGTGGACCAAATCTCCTCATCTCACTCCCAATGGGGATGCTCAGCCACCGGGTTAAGGAATGGTCCTGCCAGCAAGGGATGCAGGCACTGGCTCATCACAGGGTGAGCTGCACAAGCATCCCAAAAGAAACCCACAGTGATGCACAGATGCTCTGCTTGGTCCACAGACCTTTGGGAGGCTGCACAAGGAGACTATGAGAATAAAACCTTCCTGCAAAGAATCTGAATTCAGGGATTGGGGTCTGTATGGCTCTTGGGAATCTTTGAAGGATCTGCAGAGCCACTATGGATAATGGATTGGCATAAGAAAGCTCAGAGGGTATGTCCACACTGGAGATGGTGTGTATCCTCTGAGCTGACAGAGAGGAAGGGCAGTGGGGAACAGGAAGGTTAAATCTGCTTTAATTTCACCTAATCTACCCAGACAGCACAGAAAAAGGCTCCATATGATAATGGACAGCTAGGGAAAAGGAAACAGGCCAATAAATAGTGTAGAGGTTGGGATAAATCTAATTTTTAAAGCCACATATCTAATCAAAGCAAATTACACCTGCAGCCTGACTCTGGATAATGTTAATGCACAAAAAGGAGCATTAATTATACCCCATCTAATGATTTTTACATTAAAGATGCCAATTCTGCTTAGAGCTTTGGAGAAGACTGTGTCCTCCTCCTGAGCAGACAAGAGCTGGGTCCTACCTGATGCACAGCTGGATGGATGCAGAGGGCAGCAAGTTGGACCACTGTGTCCTCCATAGAGTGATGGCATGGGGAAAGCTGATTCCTCATGTCACTGGATCTTCTCACCCACCATCCATTCCTATGGGCAACCCAGCACCTTCTGAGGCTCCAACATCCCCCATGCCTGTTGCTTAGACCTTTAAGCTCAGCCAAGACTCAGCTGTGCAAATCTGACTGCTGCTAATACTAATAAATCCAAAGTCTGGCTTTGCATCCAAAGGTTATGTTGACTTTAAACACCCATGCAAGCTTCTTATGGCAGTTTATAAATCCCAGCTCAAAATCTGCCTATCCACATTTCATGTGCACTGTGCTTTGGGTTAGCAACAGCAAAAGAAATCACTGAACTCCCCCTTGGAAGAAAAGAAATACTTAAAATGAATTGAAAGAGGTAAAATTGTCCTTTTTTTTCCCCCTCAGTAAAAGCACATGATGGAATCATCATAAAGCTTTTCAGGTTAATCATCTCATTTGCCTTCCAAAAGAAACCCCCTGGATTCTACACACCCATTTACATAAGAATTTAAAAAGACCTTTAAATTTATTCCTGAAATAGTTGTATTCAAATCATATTCCCTGACATCCAAAACCATTGGGCTTCCTGCAAGGGAACACCAGTAATTAGCAACTGGATTCCTGAATGTGATGGAGATAGATACAATACAAAGAGGTGGCACAAGTAAGAAGGCACTGTGCTCCCTGGCTTTCCCTGGAATTGGGAAGGGGCATTAAGGATTGGTTTAATTAGAAAGAGCTGGACTGGAAGGAGCGTTTATTACAGGCATTGGAGAGCTGCACAGTGGAAAACAGCTTAAAACATTTAACACATTTAAATTACTTTGGGGATGTGAACAAGGCATTGATAACTGTGCTAAAGTAAACCCCAAATGCTCATGGGCATCTGTAATCCCCGCAATCTATTTGCTGTGGTCTCTGTAGAACATCAGTGTTTAAGTACCTAAAACTTCAAGGTAAATCAAAGGCCATGAAAATGCAGCAACGGCAATAAACCAAGGTGAAAAAACATCCATATCAAAGAGAAACAGAGACTGCCAAATGCCTTTTACCACTCGCAGAGCCTCATAAGCAGAATGGGAGTATTTACAGCTCAATTTAAATCTCTGGTGAATCATAAGCAAAACTGATAATACCATGACTTTTCCAGGGGTATCACACCTACCCTTAGCCAGGAGCATCCCTCATCTTTATTCATGTCAGCAATCTTGCTGTGATTTGCCACCCAGCTCTTCATTTACAAGGCTAAACATGAGCCCAAATGCCTCGCTCTGGGTTTCCACATGCCTCAGACTCAGCCAAAAGCATCTCACAAGGCAACTTCTGTCACTAACAGAGCTGGAACAGAAGCAGGGAGTCCTGCCTTTCAGTCCTGTGCCTTAATGCAAGCTCTCCCTTCCAAAACCAGCCCCTGAGGGTGTCTCATTCCCTGCAGGTTTGGCCATGCCCAGCTGTGTCCTCTCACCTAAGATCTTGCTCCTTAGAGGAGCCTGGAGGCTTCTAGAGCATCCATGCAGGGGAATAACATTGCTTATGGGCAACACACAG